TACGACCTGACTGTAAGTGTGAAACATGCCTCAAGACATCAGCAATGGATGATGAAAGGTGGTACCCAATCTATTCTACAGGGAATCGAAGAGACTATTTAGAGTCTTTCCTCATTCACCAATGATGAGACAGAACATGGATGTGAAAAATCCTTCATAGATCCACTCACAGGACCATTTTTTCACTCCAAATTTCTTCTGACCTTCTTAAAGGTGCTCTGTATGTGAAAAAACCACCTGTTTCAGACTTACTTTGCCATATCCCTCAAAACCAGGCTACCCTAACCCATCCTGCACTACTTTTTTTTTAGAGAAGAAAAATCTTCATGAAGACTCAAGTTTTAAGTCTTTTCCTAATGGTAAAGACTTTGCTGTTCTCTTCCAGATGCCATATTTTCCTTCTGGAGACTAAATAGCAAGTGTCAGAAGTACATGCTCAGATTTTCAGCACCTCTATGACTTGAGTTACATTGAACATAGAGGCTTGATCACCTGACTTGAGTTACATTGAACATAAAGGCTTGATCACCTGATCTTCCTATGACTCAGCTCTGTCATGAAGAAAGCATGTCACGTGTTCTCTGGGTGGAAGCTGAAAGTGAACATGCTGGATCATATGGTTAGATCTATTTTTAATTTTTAATACTGTTTTCCAATGAAGTTGAACTAACCTACATTTTCACCAACAGCATATGGTTTCTGGACATTTTGATGAGACCACTGTCATTGGTGTGAGATGTTAAGTCACTGTTTTGATTTGCATTTTTCTAAAAATTAACTATAATGGGCATCCTGTCAGGGGTCTCTTAGCCAACTATATATCTGATTTAGTAAAGTGTCTATTTAGCTCTTTCACCCTTTAGGGGTAGGGCTGTTTGTTTTCTTGTTGTTAAGCTTTGTGAGTTGTATATATATCTTGAATATAAGCCTTTGTCAGATGTATTTTATGTGAATAAATATTCCAGAGAACAACAAAACACTAATTCAGAAAGAATATGGCACACCTATGTTCAATGTAACACTTTACAATAACCAAGATTTGAACAACAATAACAAATGGGTAAAGGTGTGAAGGGGCTGGAAAAAAGAGTATGGTACCTCATATGGTCCCCCTGAGTATCACCCAGAGTGATCCCTGAGTGAAGAGCCAGGAGTAAGCCCGCGCACCAGCAGGTGTAGCCCAAAATAAAACAAAATAAAAAGATGTTATCAATAGATAGATAGATAGATAGATAAGAAGAAAACAATGCAGCTATCAAAAAAAAAGACAAAATATTTTCTTTTGCAATGACATGGATGAAATTGGAGGGGAACAGACTTAATGAATTAAAAGGAAAAAGAGAAATACTGAATAATGTCATATGTCATATGTCACTCATATGTGAAATAAACAAAAACAAGGTAAGGGAACAAAGTCAGACAAAAACAAACCCTTGGACCCTGAACATATACTTGAATTTCCCATAAGGAGAAGAGGCAGGATGACCAATGTGAGGAAAGGGGAATGAACTGCAGGGCAGGGCAGGGGGGAATATTGGCACTTTGGTTAGGGATGGAGTGTGGTAACATGTACTTTGAAAATGTGTGAGGTTGTACTCCTAAATATACCATATAAGCCATGATGCTTTCTCAATTTAAAGGGGGTAGTGAAGGGGAAAATGAGGGGGTCACTATCTCAAAGGAAATTAAATACAAAGACTTACATAGAGGACTTTACACACTATCACTGAGTATTATAGGTGCCATTTTTAATAAACAGGCTGTATAATTCTAACTTTCTCATCTATTTCATTCTCTTGTTCCATAATTAACTCACTACTCCCCAAATTGGGGCATAAGTTCCCAACTCAAGGTTTACTTCTGGTAGTGTTTGGGGGGGATCATATGCAATGTCATGATCAAACCAGAGTCAGTTGTGTGCAAAGCATGTGCCTTAATCTCTGCTCTATCTCTTTGACCCATAAGAAACTAAACTTCTAAGACTATAAGAAGTAATTTAAACTGTAGGAGGAGAAAAACAGAATTCCAATTCAGAAATGTAGTGCAATGAAAGTTGTTTAAAATGGACTATGCATCAGAATTTTGTTCTCACTTTTTCTTTATCCATTAGGGTAAAAGTTGTAGGCCCTAAAAACTTCAAATCTATTGTCTAACTATTTAATACATGTTTTTAATACATGTAATAAGGAAATGACAACCATACAATTCACAAAAGTCACAGCTGAAATTTCACTTTAGACTACCTGATGTCAAATCTTGAAGCTGATGAAGAAATCTGCCAGCTCCTTGAAACACAGCTAGTTAGCATAAATTCAAGTACAGAACACCAGAGTCTTGGCATTACACCAGCTCAAAACCATCTAGACCCACAGATGATTGTGCCTGCATAATACCTATAGGCTCACAAATCTTAGAACTGAATTTGACCAAGTATATTTACAAAGTGTAAACCAAAGTTATACCTTAAATTTTAGTTCTCAAATTATAATAAACATTTAGAAAGCTCATGTGCTAAAGGGAGACTACCAAGCATTAGGGTAGCAATGGAGAAATAAAAATCAGACTAGTGAGACACAGACTAGAGGTCATGGATACTTTGTTGGTGGGGTGAGGGTATGGTAACTGTGTACATCTATACCATAAACATTCAAATTATTGTAACATGTTACTTAAACTACACTGCAATAATTTTTTAAATAATAAAAATAAATAACAACCCCAGCATTTCTGGAAAACAATATGGGCATTTCTCAAAACACTAGAAACTGAGCTTTTATCTGACCCCACAATACCACATCTGGGAGCATATCCCGGGATAAAATAAAAAAAAAAAAGCAGAGTAGAAATGACATGTGCACCTGTATATTCACTGCAGCACTGTTCACAATAGCCAACCAAAATCTGGAAACAACCAGAGTGCCTGTGAACAGATGACTGGTTAAAGAAACTACGGTATCCCTATACAATGAAATACTATGAAGCTGTTAGAAAAGATGAAATCATTAAATTTTTTTATAAGTAGATGGACATGGAGAGTATCATGCTAAGTGAACTGCGTCAGAAAGAGAGGAACGGACAGAATGAGTGCACTCATTTGTGGAATATAAACTATCATAATATGAGACTGATAAGGACAGTAAAGACAATGGCCAGGAGGATTGCTCCACTGGTTCGAAGCCTGTCTCATGAGCTGGGGGAGAAGGCAGTTGGGATAGAGAAGGGACCACTAAGTCAATGATGGTTGAAGAGATGATGCAAGATGTGTGCTGAAAGTAGATAAAGGATCAAACATGATGGGCTCCCAGTATCTGTATTGCAGACCATAATATTCAAAAGTAGAGAGAGAGTAGGAGGGAAATTGCCTGCCATAGAGGCAGGGGGTGGGGTGGGATGGGGGTGGTGGGAGGGATACCGAGGACATTGGTGATATAAAACGTACACTGGTGGAAGGATAGGTGTTCAATCATTGTATAACTGGAATTCAATCATGAAAGCTTTGTATCTGTATTTCACGTTGATTCAATTTTTTTAAAAAAAGAGAAAAAATCAGGGGAAAAGATAACAACCCCAAATATTAAACATATCATATATAACCTCTAAATATATTTTCCTTTGTTCTTACTATATGTAACCACTAAGGAAAAGTCAATGAAGACTGGAAATCAATCCAATTTAAGGATGTCAAAGCATTCTAGTTTCAGGGGCAACAGAATAGAAGCACAGTGTGTCTTTGGATTATTATTGGCTCTACTTTTCTTATATCACCTAGAATTACTAATTCTAGGTACTTAATCATCTTTCCAAACATCTTTGGCATATCCTAAAAAACATATAAAACATAGTAATTTTAGAGAATATTCTATGACCGGGGCTGGAGTGATAGCACAGAGGGTAGGGAATTTGCCTTACAAGCGGCCAACATGGCCGACCCGAGTTCAATTCCTCTGCCCCTCTCGGAGAGCCCAGCAAGCTACCGAGAGTATCTCACCCGCACGGCAGAGCCTGGCAAGCTCCCCGTGACGTACTCGATATGCCAAACACAGTAACAACAAGTCTCATGATGGAGACGTTACTGGACCCACTCGAGCAAACCGATGAACAACGGGAGGACCGTGATTCTATGACCATTATGTGGAAATGACCAATGATAGCTCACATGGCCAAGGAGAGGAGGAATACATGACTAGATGCCAGGACTGCAATACATATGGTGTCTACCCCAGACCGCTTACCCATGATTTGACATAGATAGATAGATAGATAGATAGACAGACAGACAGATATAAAGAGATAGAGAGGAAAACAATGGCTCCTGGAGAAACCTATCAACTGCTAATATCATTAAAATGGATGTAATTATAAAAAAAATTTAAACATTTAAACTTAGAGAGATCGGGCGCGTTCAGGGTGGTATGGCCGTAGACGGGCTGGAGCGATAGCACAGCGGGTAGGGCGTTCGCCTTACAAGCGACCAACATGGCCGACCCGAGTTCGATTCCTCCGCCCCTCTCGGAGAGCCCGGCAAGCTACCGAGAGTATTCGATATGCCAGACACAGTAACAACAAAGTCTCCAATGGAGACGTTACTGGGCCCGCTCGAGCAAATCGACGATCAACGGGAGGGCCTTTACCTTTACCTTTTACCTTAAACTTAGAGAAAATATGCCACTAATTTCTTCAGTTAAAAATCTGAAGAAAAAGAAATTTAAAAAAAACAAACCTCTAAGTTGTCAGTGCTTTAATTTTATGTTCTATAAAAAAGTGCTTCTAACCTTCCAGGAAAATGGAAGAATTTTAATGCTTATAAAAATCACAGTGCTAATGCCAGCACTTCATTTCATTTGGTGAATGTTTTTCTTGATCTTGTGATTGAAAAAGTCTTACAAAACATCATCACTGGGCAACACAACTGAGGAAGCCACAGGCTTGTCAACAATACACTTTAAAGACAAAATAAAATACAAAACACCACACCGAAAAATAACTTTGAAATTAATTACCTATATTAATTGCAGTTTCTTGTTTGTCTCCCGTCAACACCCAAATCTTAATTTCTGCCTTCAGCAGAGTTGCTATGGTTTCTGGAACCCCTGCCTGAAGGCGATCTTCTATGGCTGTAGCTCCCAGTAGCAACAAATTCTAGATAAAAAAAAAATAGCACTTTCAATTAAGGATAGGGATACAATCCAGAGAAGCATCAACAACACAACCCTGGTGAAAGAAAGGCAGTCAAAATTTCCTGACAGCTATTTCTTCTGCTTTAAAATTCCAGAATAATCAATGCTATCTAGGTTGTGGCACATCAAAACTATTTCAATATGAGAACTACTCCTTCTACCCACATAAGTCAATATTAACTTTGTTCTTGGTGCATGAATATGGGACAGAAGAAGTGCATGGCAGGTGAGCAGATAGATGCTGATCTTTTGGATATTAATAGCCCTACTCTCTCACTTGTCTCATGAGTTGAGTTTTGAGAATCAAAGGATGGGAAAATCTGATTTCTGTATGTTACACTTATTAAGCAATATAGGACCTAAGAGCATGCAATAATGACTTTGGCAGAGAATAAAAACATCAAAGCACCTTAAGACTGAGGAACTATGGGGCCAGTAGGGCACTTGCTTTTGCACACAGCTGACCCAGATTCAATCCCTCACATCCCATATGGTCTCCTATTCCCTCCATGAGTGATCCTTGAGTACTGAGGCAGGAATATAAATCCTGAGAATAGCCATTGTGGTCCAAAATACTAAAAACTAAAAATTTAAAAATGACTGAGAACCTATAAATGCTGCCCCTGTAAGTCCTTTCCACGGTGTAAAAGGCTCAGTTCACACTAAGGTGGGCTGTGGATAAACAGAGTCTGGAGTTGCTCTGCCTCGTGCTCAGCAAGACAACAAAGCTTTGCCCAGAGGGCCTAGTAACCATATGGCCTCATAGGGAGTCTCCAGGATAGAGAGCTCAGCCCAGTTTGGTCAACCAACCATGGGGAAGAGCCCAATTCCCACAGACCCTTACATGCTCAGGATTGCATGCACAATCAGTCTCTGTCTCTGTCTCTCTGTGTCTCTGTTTGTCTCTATCTCTTTCTGTCTCTGTCTGTCTCTCCCTATTTCTTGCCACACCTCTCTCTCTCTCCACAACTGAGCATTTATTCCAACCTAAATTCTATTAAAATGGCACAAAAGTGAATATAAAACTCAAAATAAAAATGGATAATTAAAAAGTGAAGGCCATTTTTAAAGCACACATACAAACAAATGTGAAATGGGAAAAAATAAATGGTTGATTTTTTGAGTTATAGAACTGGAAATATCTGGACCAATGATTGCTGACACAAAAAAGTCGAGGCTGGAGCTATAGTAAAGCAGGCAGGGCATTCACCTTGCATACAGTTGACCCAGGTTCCATCCACAGAACCATCTGTGGTCCCCTGAACATTGCCAGGAGTCATTCCTGAGAGCAAAACCAGGAGTAACCCCTAAGCATTGCCAAGTGTGACCCAAACATCTCCCACTCCCCTGCAGTAAAAGGAAAAGTCAAAATCCAGCTCCCAATTTCAATACTCCAGTACATAGCAAGTTACTGGATACTTTAGGATAAACTGCAAAGAACCAAGATAAAAAAAAAAAAGCTGGCAATCTGGGATAGCATTAGCAATGCTGATAATATTCTAGCATTATCAGAGAAGTGTGAAAATTCCATGTATGCACAATATCCCACACCAGTTCATGCATTCTGATTCTGATTCTGATTCTGATTCTGATTCTGATTCTGAGTGAGTTAATCTCCTCAACCTTATCTCAGGCAAACCCAGAAAGTTACTGATTCCCTTTTTTTAAAAAAAAAATTTTATTAGTGAAACACCATGAGGTACAGTTGTAGACTTACAAATTTTTGTGCTTAGGTTTCAATTATACAATGATCAAGTACCCATCCCTCCACCAGTGCCCATTCTCCACCACCACTGATCCCAGTATCCCTCCCGCCCCCATCCCCCATCCCACTCTGCCTCTGTGACAGGGCATTCCCTTTTGTTCTCTCTCTCCTTTTGGGTGCTGTAGTTTGCAAAAGAAGCATTGAGTGGCAATTCCCTTTTTAACCTCATACTTTCTAAGACATCACACTGATGTGGCTAGAGTTTTCAGATCGCCCTTAAACACAAAGCCTTTCTTAAAGCAAAGAATGATGCCAAGCTAATGGTAAATTAAAATACATAAAATAGAGCATCACTACACTGCAAAGGGCTTTCATGTTCACAAGCTATGCTGAATGGCGCTAGGCCCCTTCTGGGCACAAAAGTCGAATGCAGTGGGTGGTAGTTACCTTCTCAATGAGCTCGTAGCACTCCTCTACTCGCTGGACCCTGTCCTTCAGGATGGTGCTGGCTTCTTGGTAGACCTTCAGCCAGTCTTCATATTCATTCTCAGTGAGGTCCGCATATGCCAGACAGAGAGTCCTCAAGCCTGCAAAGAGTCTGAGTGAATCCCGTGACACTGCGACAAGGAGCAAATGGGGGAGCTGATCATGGAGGGTACCACATGTGGCTCATTTCAGACCTGCTTGCTCCAAAACAGTCCAAGAAACCACCTGTCTTTTTGGTCAGCCTATTTCAGCTTCCATGCCTCTGCAAAGGTAACTTCAAAAATAATTTAACTACACTTGGATATAAACCACCTCTTATTGTGGGGCTGCAGCAACGGTACAGCAGGTAGAGCACTTGCCTTGCAAGCGGCCAATCTGGGTTCAATCCCTGATAGCCCCTATTGTCCCCAAGCCCCCCCAGGACTGATCCCTGAGTGCAGAGTCAGGAGTAAGCACTCAGCACCGCTGGTCAGCAATAAGTCCTGACTCCAACAGAAAGCACTGTAGCGCTGTCCCCCCGCTGTTCATCGATTTGTTCAAGCGGGCCCAGTAATGTCTCCATTGTGAGACTTGTGGTTACTGTGTTTGGCATATTGACTACGTCACAGGTAGCTTGCCAGGCTTTGCCGTGCAGGTGAGATACTCTCGGTAGCTTGCTGGGCTCTCCGAGAGGGGCGGAGGAATCGAACCCGGCTCGGCCAAGCCGGCCGCACGCAAGGAAAACACCCTACCACTGTGTTATGGCTCCAGACTCCAACAGAAAACAAACAAAAAACCCAACCATCTCTTATATCAATCTGAGAAGCAGCCCTGAGTATGGATTCTCCCAGAGCAAGTTCTGGTACAGCTATTGGGAGGGGCATGGGCAGTGGTCAGCAACAGAGGCTGAAAGGACACTTTTGAGTAAAGGGTGAACGTCCAATGTGCTTCCATGTGAAACACTGGGCATTCCAAACAGCCATGCCTGGGGACTTAGGGTGTTGTGATGTGGGTCTGTATATCTGTGTGCCTGTAAGAAGACACAAAGGGGAAGGAGAAGCAGTGGACACTTAAGAAAGGTTCTAGCTTTTGTCTTTCTCACAGGGAAATCTGATGCAATGTTTAGAGCCCTTCAGAGAGGGCCTTCCTGGATCTACATGGGTTCACAGCCTTCAGCCACAGATGGAGCAGGGAAATGACAAAGTGAGTGATCCCAAGGCAAGGAATGATAACTACAGGATGATTCGACCTACTGTGAACTGACCTGCCTTTTCCTTCTATACCTCTGTCTAGTTAGAGAGTCTGGACTTCGCCTTGCATTTTGTCAGTCTCATAGATTCGTGGGGGCAGTGCTAATCCTAGTAAAGTACATTCCTATAAAGCAAGTCAAGTACTGCACAAAAATTACCTGCCTGTGCAAAATAGGAGGGCTGACCAGATCATCAACAGTAAGTACGTGACCATATAATGGTTAAGAAGAGTGTTGCCAAATTCCACCTACCTTCAGTGGCAAAATATTCTAGGTGGCATAATGTTTCCTCCATGTATTTTGAATCCTTTGAAAGTCTCTCAAAAATGACATTATCCTATAATACAGGGAAAGAGTGTAAGTGGCCAAGCCTGCAGAAAACCCCGTGGCCAGATTCTAAGCATAGCTTTGTTGCAAAGTGTTAATCAACTGTACAGGCCCACTTGAGTGGGCAAGTGGAAATGTAGCTCTTGGGGAGATTTGTAAGTTTGGAAAACAAACAAGGCATAGATGGGTGCAAACAGATACACATTGAGAAGGACCTCCAATACCACGCAAATAATCAGGGAGAGGACAGTGCCTTTGTTTTCCCGTTCTTGTAAAGGTGTCAGAGTCCATCATATTCATCTGCAAAAATGGAAAGGTGAAAAGGCACACCCTACCTTCCTCAAATGAACTTGTTCTTCCCAGTACTGCAGAAACTCGTGATCAGGGGAAGGGCTACACTCTGCCTTGACCCAGGTCAGCTGAGCCACACTCGGCTGTGACCCCAGGTGTCCCTCTATGGCAATTTTCCTGAGGGAGAAGCAGGCCAGGCTGGATGCCAGCAACCCTCCATCAAACTTCTGTTTTATGACACTATTTTTTTTTCCTCAGGAAATCTCATTTTATTTGGAGAGGGGCAGGTTGAAAGAGAAATACGTCTGAAGAAAAGAAAAATGCACTATAGGAGATTTTTGTGTGTTTACAACTGTTCTACAGTCAGGGTCTTCCTCTGTGATTCTTAGAGTAAGTACCAAACAAACAAAAAAAAGTGAAAACTACATCATAGCAGAACATAAGTTAGGCAATCCTGATTTGTTGCTATTTTAAACACAAAGTTCTTGAATGAGCTGTCCAGACACAATGTGTTTGGAATTCATAGGCATTATCTATGAATGCCTATAAAGTCATAGGGGGCTCCCAAGCAGTGCTCAGTAGGATGAGAGACCAGGGTCTGAGGATGTGCTGTTGCTCAGGCCCTGCAGTGCCAGGATCCTCGGGACATCGTGGTGGTGCTTGGAGGTATTCAAGCCTGCACCCAGCAATGCTTAGGGGACCACTCGGTGATGGAAATCAAACCTAGGTAAGGCATGTGTCAGATAGATGCCTTAACCGATTTACTATCTCCCAGCGCCCCTACTTTATTCATTGTGTAAATCTCTTATGGTGTACAAACAAGATCATACTTCTTTCAACCATTAGTAAAGGGTACTAAAATTTTCCACAAATCACTGATTCTCAGTAGAGCTTCCTTTGCTTTTCATCTCTAATTTCTTTCTGGTTTGGGGTTTGGGGCCACACTCACAGCAATCCTAAGGAGCTGGAACCAGAGCATATTTGAGGGTCAGTCCTGGAGGTACTCTGGGAACAACGCACTGCCAGAAATCAAACCCAGGACTCCCCCAGGCAAAACATGTGCTCCAGCCCTTTGAGCCTTCTTCCTTCCTAGCCCTAGCTACTTTTCCTTGACAGAGTCTCAAAAAATGAACTAAATTCTTTCTCCCCTTAACATTAAAGAACACAACAATGTAGAATTTGCAAGTAAGACTACAACCAGTAACGTCTTTATTACAGAGAAGGCTTTTTTTTGAGAAACCACTCGACTCCATTCTTTTCCTCATGCCACCAAAAAAGTGGCATGAATAGTCAACAATGGCAAAGAGATGTTGCAAAAACAACACTCAAAGCCAACATCCCACTCAGAAGAGAACTTTTTATATCCTCCTTGTGGTTTCTGGTGCTCTACACATCAGAGAAACTTCTCTAGTAAGTAACCACAGACATTATTCCTGAAGGTACAATCTGGATAAGGCATTTTAACTCACTGACTTGGTCTTAGAACCAAATAGCTGAGCTATATAACTAGCAAAAGTAGTCAGTAATAACACTAGTCAACTCACACCTCTGTGTTAATAAGAAAATAGATGACAATAATGGGATAAGTAAGTAGTAAGAGAACCAATTTTAAAACAGACTACTTAAAAGATGATGAGAACATGTCAATACAAATTACCCAACCCAAATCACAACCCAATGGTTACAACACTGGAATAGTAACTCATACTCTTCAGGATTCTACAAAACAGATCAAGTTACTATTCCTGAACTAGTGGCTAAAAGCATGCTTTTTATTGACTATCCTGGCCATACTAGCTTAAGCCAAAAGGATCTTCAGTGAGAGTTTCCTAATAAATCTATTTTACAGTCATCTTGAATGATCCTTACAAACTTGGGGGCTGTGGGTGGGGGGGAGGGAATGGTAAGGAGAGGGTTTAGGAGCAGCAGCAGAGTAACAAGGCAGCCAACAGGGGAACCAGGCAATACTTACAGCCCCTTTACAATAGAGTCGAAGTTGTCCTGAAGGAGTTCGAACAATCACAGACATTCTTTTTCTGTCACTGCAAGAGTGAAAATATAAAGCAAAAATAAGTAACTGTCACTGGTCAGTTTCATAGACCCCATCACCTGTGAATAAGCACTGAAAAAATCAAAATGCTGTCTAGCTGTCTCTGGATGACCCAACACCCATTTTTCTCTTCCTTTTCTTCAGGTTAAGACTTTCATTGAAACTTATCTCCAATTCAATATGCAGTGGACAAAAAAAAACCACTTTCCCTTTCTGGCCTTGGAGATTCAATACCACAGCTATGTGCAGTTGCAAGTCTGAGGTTTACAGGGTACATCTATTTTACTTCTGACAATGTGATAACATCTTATTCCTTGTTTTACAGGTCAAAAATACTAAATGAACCATGTGGTAAGTAGCAAAATGTATGATTCCATGTAAATCTACTCAAATGATCTTCAGGCCATCTTCTTTGATGTACAATAGAGGGAAATGACAAATCTGTCGTGATCTCTAGTTGAGCTTTAAGACATGTTTTAGTGCTCTTCCCCCCACCCTGCCAAGTCGGCCTCCTTATTCATCATGGCTCTCACTCACTGAGCTGCCAATCCTGCCCCCCTCCCCCCAATAGATTCCTCTTTGAGTTCTTTTTAATCCATCTCTGTGGACTTGCTTCCTTTCCCACCCAACCCCTGCCAGCATCATTAGGTATCAAGTATACAAATACAGGAGAAACTCTAATGGCCTTCTCCAGTCCTTTTATTCCATATCTCTAGACAAACTTTATCCCTACTACACTGGCCCCAGACAACCTATCTCCTTGGCCTTCCACTAAGGTGATTACCAATAACAATCTTGGACTGGAAGCTCATAAGATTAGAGAGCATTCTCTTTCCAGCCTTATAATTAAATTCCTGCCTTCTGACCCACAGCACTTTTATCAAACCTGGATTTTAAATTCTCTTTCAGCTACATAGTTGCCAAGTAGTCTCAACAAAATTATATACCCAGTATTTCAGGTTCTGAATGTATAAAGCAATGTTGTCACCAATTACATCAGAGGCCTGCTGTCAGGATTAATGGCCATGCTGGCTTAAGCCAATAGATTTTCCGCTGTAAAAGGATGAGTCAACTGAAGTAGCAGAACAAGAAATACAATCACAATTGATCTCTTTGTTCCCTCTAGCTTGATCACAGACTTTAATATATATATATATGTATGTGTCTATATCTACATATCTATATGCTCTAACTGTATTTACCTATTTTGAATCTAGCTTCATTTTCTCCTTCTTGTCCCTCCAATAACTGACATCCCATTTCAACAAACCAAGAAAAATTACTTCTTTTGCTGTCTTTAACAAAAGTCAATTTCAGGGAGAAGCAAATTTATGGAAATTTATCTACTATATTTAGTGCTTAAGCACTATTTAATCATATTTAATCACTACTTAATCATACCATTCAAGATGCAAACACTGATCAAGATATTAGATATACTTATATATGAGTCTACATATATGATGGGTACTGATTTATGCATGTACTGTATTTCAAGCTCATGAAAGAAAAACGTACCTAGAAAATTCCAAGACATTAAGGATTTCGAACGTCTGCTCCTGTCCCAACTAAAGGAAGAAAAACAGGTTTTTAAAGTGAAGTATAAAGTATTAAAATTTTATAATGACTGCCATTACAATGTGGACGGGTATACAATAGATGACAGACAGGCAGACAGATAACTCCTACATTCCCCCCTGTACCCCTTCCTCTTTCTAAGTGCCTTGCATAGGCAGGGTGCCAGAGATGAGTCTGGTGGAGCCCTAGCTCCCCCTTCTGGTAGAAGCTTCTCTTTTTTCTCTGGTGACCACTGCTACCAGAGCTACTAGCTGGTGAGGTCTCTTTTCCAAGACTTGAAGGAAAATGAAACAAGTAACACAGCTCCATCCAAAACCATCAAACTATTAATGATTCTGAAGTCAGAATTTTACACATATCACAGCGGTGTATGCATGTGCCATATACCTAACATCCATATGAGGCTTGGAACACAACATTCATTTCATTTGTTTCTGCAAAATACAGGACTTCACATTGAGATTCACGTTCATGTCTATAAAGAAGCTCCTATTCTCCAGATACAAAGTGTGAACATAATGGACATGCTAAGCTTTCTGCATTTGGATTTAGAACTACTGATGAATTCAGAAACCATTCATCTGCTCCAGTTTTTGTGTAATTTAATCAAATGACTTTTCAGATTCTTCAAGTTTCATTTTTCCCCCAGAAAAATTCCAGAATACGTGTCCACCATTTTCCAAACCTTATGATCTAACTTTCTTTCTACTTCCTTGATATATCAGAGGAAAGTCTTTGGGCTGTGGGCTTACACAAACAGGGAGTCCAAAGCTGGCTTCTGCACCAACTGTGGCTTTCTTGTGGACTATGACAGAACCTATACCCTAGGTTTCAGAGGAGGAGAGTAAATAAAGAAAAAAACTCAGATCACCAAGTGTACTCCTGATACTCAGTAGTTCTGAATAGTCTGTTGCCCAATCCCCAACTCCTGACCCCCTTCTCTTCTCTTCACTCTCTGTAACCATCAGCTCCCTTGCGCCCCACCTGGCCCCATTCAGAAACATGCCCACTGCTGCCACACTCCTACGCACATGGGCTGTGAGCACTAAGGACGAAGCCCTCTTTGCACCCCTGTTACATGAATGACTCCCTCATACTGTTCATCAATGATACTAGGACGACCAACAAGGACACTTGACATAAATGTCAGATAACTGACTTAAGTACTCCTGAACTGGTAAGTAGGATTTTACAAGTTGTAATTTACTAATCTTTTCTAACCATGGGATCTTTAAATTTTGCTTAGCTGAGTAAGAGGTACAAATTCATGTTCCAGATCAGTACCTCCAACACTGCACTGACTCCCAAGATGATACCCGGCAAGTTCCTGCACAGCCCACCTCGACCCGGTTCGGGAAGGCAGAGCAGCTTCTCTGGCTTCTCCCACTGGGCCCCGTCCCTCCACACCACACTCACACCCCACGTCCGCAATGCAGAGAGAAGCACAGCAGCATCCACACCACTGAAAACCACAGTGAAGGTGGAATAGCCCCTTCACCTGGGGGAAGGAGACCTCATCTGTGAAAAGCTCCATGCTGGAAACGTCTCTGTTCAGTTTCCGGTTTCAGTAACTGCACACTTCCCTAAGCTCAATTCCCTATGTTTGTTGAAATAAAAAGAAAGAAATGTTATCTAAATCTCTTGTTCGATTAGAAAAGAACTGGAAATGCAAAAACAAACAAACAAACAACCCCACACACAAGCATTTTAAAGAAAAGGGTAACATTTTGGACATTTTGCAAAGAAGCAAAAGCAACTACCAAATTAAAAACAATATAAGGATAAGCCTGTTGAAAATGAACCTCAAATATACAAATATATTAAAGAATTTTATGGATTTGTTGTCGTTGTTGTTGTCTTGGGAACATACCAACATGCTCAGAGTTTACTCCAGGCTCTCCACTTGGGAATCACTTTTGGCATTGTCTGGGGGACTATATGCGATGCTGGAGATCAAACCCAGGTCAACTACATGCAAGGCAAGTGACCTACCTGCTGGCTACTGCTCTGGCCCCAAGACTTCTAGAGATTTAAGGGCACAGCCCAAACATGTAACAATCCACAATTCCTGTCCAACTTGGAAGAGACAGCGGAGAAAGCAGTGGCGACCAGGCCTGCCTACTTTAGAAAACAGGGGTGCTACACCTTCTCTCTGGCCATCATTCCACAGCAGAGTCTGGCAAGTCCTGACCACCAGTTGCCCCCACTGACAATCTTAAGGGGCACAATTCAATCATTCCTATTTACATATTTTCCAGTCACCAAATTTCACCCACTGGATCTGTTCCTGGCTGCAGATACTCTAATGCCAGTAGATGGTGGGGAAGAATCTTCACGAGAGGGGTAAGTACTGCGATGCAGTGAAACAAATGATAAACCCACGGGGTTCCATTAGTCTCCGTTTCTTCCACAGGCCTCCTTCCCCACCCTAAACAGGACCGAAATTTAGTTCTGTTTCCAACAGATTCGCTACTTCCCATGGAGCCCGCAGCAGGGAGCCGGACCTAAGAGCCCAGGGCCCTCACTTACCGCCTCGATGATGACCGAGTATGGAGTTCTGCCTGTGAAGACGAAGCCCAGCTTTTTAGCTCCTTTCACCAAAGCAGCTTCGTCTGTCAAGAAAGAATTGATGAAATACTGACTCATTGATGGGAATGGCAGAACTGTTTCCAAGCATTATTTTTCAAATTAACAAAAGCCACATGTGGAAAAAAGGCCTGGACTTGGGGGGACAGGGCGAAGAGAGATAATATATAGTGGGAAGGTGCTTCTCTTGTATGCAGTCAACCGCTACTCGATCCCCAGACCACACAGGGTCCACTGAGCACCACCCAGAAGTGAACTCCAAGTGTTGAGCCAAGAGTGAACCTTGAGAGCCACTAGGTGCTGCTCCAAAACCTACCCCCTCCCCACCGCTGAAAAAAACAAAAGAGAGAGAGAAAAGACCAGACTGATGTGCAGAGTATCAAGGGCTAGGGATGCAGAGATCTCCAGCCCTTATGATCTCTTGCTCATTCTGCCCCCTGGGCCCAGGAGTCTGGGAAGAGCACTTCTGTCAGACGGGGAGGTGGAACTAAAACTCACTGACCCCAGGAGAAAGATGATATATATATATATATATATATATATATATATATATATATATATATATATGCCAACTGCTCATTGTTGGGATCAAAGTCCTCTGATGAACTTAAGAAATGCTTCCATGACTTTCTGGGTTTGTTTGGTTTGGCTTGGTGTTTGAATCACAAGCAGCAGTGCTCAGAGCTGACTCCTGGTGGGCTCAGAAGACTCTATGGGTGGCCAGGAATTGGAAACATCAAATTCAGGCTGGCCACATATAAGGCAAGCACCCTGCCTGCCTTACTATCACTCCCACCTGCTTCCATGACTTTCTGATGGAACATCAGAACCAGGTGCTTCAGGAAGACTGGGGAGGTCATGGAGCACAGGAAGTGCAACCCTTGAAAACTCCCATGAACTCCATGAGGAGTGGAAGGCTCTGTCTGGCGCAATGACCATCCCTAGCAAAAGCAAGATGGCCCAGGGGGCTTTCTGCATTCTGAGTGCGATTGGAGAGGGACCCAGGTCAGCTGGTCACAGCTGTGATCGATCTCTGCCAGCAGCACCTGAGACTGTGAGGTTCCAGCAGGACACACCACTCTGACAAGTCACTGCCGATGCTCAGCTGTCCAGGGAAGGGGCTCACCCGGGGAGGAGGCCTGGTAGATGATGTCGTCTCCTTCCTTCTCGGGAACGACTGTGTGACACACGGCCAGGAGAGTGAGAAACTCCTGGATGCAAGGAGCTGTGGGCTACAAACATGGGACCTCGTTAATGGGGTGGCTTTGGTGTTCAAAGCCCAGAAGGGCTTCCTCTGCTGTTAGAGCAGAGGTGACGGGGTCCAGGTCCTGCATGAGCCACAGTCGTCCCCTTCCAGCCCCATTCTCTGCCACGCACAGCCCTGTCTGCCTATACAGCCTCGCGGATGTGCAATCTGCCTGTGACCCTGTCCTGTTTGGAACAGGGAAAGGGCAACCTTTCCTGGCTTTTATCCACTTCTGTGTGTTCATCCTCTGAGCTTCTCTTTAACAGCATTCCTACTGTGCTGCCCCGCGTGTCAGGTAAGAAGCAAGGGGCACCTAGGGACCCCTCCTCTGACACTGCCAGCACCTCGCTTCACTCATGTCTGATACTTCCAACACTCCTGCCACATGCTGGGCACTGTTTCTCTGCTTTTCTGAAACCCAGGAGGGCAAGCAGGCCACCTAGCTAAGCTGCGCTCAGGTCTGGCCAACAGGAGGTGTGCAGAGCGATGTTGACTCAAACGAGCAGGACTGACCTACCAATTGCTGCAGTTATAGATGAAACATGTATTTCTTCTCTACCTCGCCTGTTCTTCAGCTTTATAATCCTTTATAACCGATAGCAGACAGGGCTGCACGTGGCAGAAGAGGGGACTGGAGGGGCACAGCTGTGGATCGTGCGGGACCTGGACCTGTTCTCCAACTTTATAATCCTTTATAACCCATAAGGCCATTTGTCACTCATCTAGGGCCTTTTATAAAAATTTTCTTGGGCACATATTTTAATACATTTCCGTCCACCCTGGCCACACAGACACAATCCTTACTTTTCATTGAGATTAGACAACGAATCAGTGGAGAAATGAGATCGCAATACTATCTACCCATCCGAAAACACATCTCATTTATTAAAAAGTTCTAAAACTTCTGTATTTAATTCACAGCATATTTCCTATTCATTTTTTATTTATTAAAATAATCTGTGTGCCTACTATATATGGGAGGCATTATACCTCAGGTATTTTATATACTGACTTATCATAACTGAAATATACTATATTTTACAATAAACTTATTGTTCAGAAGGCACTAAAACCTTTGCATTTTATAAATAAATTAAAAATCCAATTGAAACTGACTTACTAATTCTCTGAATTTTACTTGTTCCTACTGGGTTTTCAAGGAAGACAATTCTATCACCCACAAATGATAACTTTTCACTTTTCCCTTACAATAAATAAGGGGGAAAAGACAAACTTAAACTCTGAACTATTTGCAATATTATTTTAGACAAGTAAAATTTGAAAAAAACCTTTTTTCTGTCGCTTTTCCAAAATGCATTTTTTATGATGCTGAGAGTCAAAACCAGGAGCAGAGACATGTGAAAAAGGTACTCTATTGCTGAGGTATAGTCCCAGTCAAGAAAATTTTTGTCACTTGAAGGAACTGATTATTTATGGAGAATTTATATGTACATGTATACACAAACATGTATATAGGCATATGTGTATATATGTACAAGTTTAGAAGTTGAAGCTTTATTATTGTGGGGAAAATCTTCAAATAATATATTAGCCATCATTTAAAATATAATTTATTGATATTAAAGACAGACACAGAGTTCTGTATGCCAATCAGCATTAACTATCAAATTTTTTTTATGTTTCTGACACTATATCCATTAAACAACCACTCCGCCTCTGCCACATTCTCCCGTTTAGCTAATAGTAACCTCCTATTCTCTTTCTTTTCTAGATATCTCATTATAATTAGTATAACTAATTTGCACAAAATATTTTATGTATATTCTAGAAATATTTTCAATTCATTTAAATGCTTGTCTAAAATCATCTTACAACAAACTGCAACTATTTAGCACTGTTGTCCCATTGTTCACTGATTTGCTCAAGTGGCACCAGTAACATCCCTGTCGTGTGCTAGTGTAGGCCAACGGCATCTGCTCACTCCAGGAACACGAAGTGAGACTTGTTGTTACTGTTTTTGGCATATCAAATATGCCACAGGGAGCTTGCCAGGCTCTGCCATGCAGGCAGGATACTCTCAGTAGCTAGCCTGGCTCTCTGACAGGGAAGGAAGAATCGAACCCAGGTTGGCCTCATGCAAGGCAAACTCCCTACCTGCTGTGCTATCACTTCAGCCCTGCAATTGCAACTGTAAAGTATCTGCTATAAAGATGCAAATGGTGTTTTCTTGAAGTACCCAAGTTCAAGTTCAATAACTTAGATGTAATGATTTAAAAGAAAGTTTTGTTTTTCCTTGGAAAATCTTAGGAGGAAATTATCACACAAATAGGAAGGAAGTCCCTGGTTAGCCATGCAATCAAGACACTCATTAATTTTCCATAGGCTGTTTCACTGACTGAAAGGCAAACTACATTACGAATATCTATCCATACAAGCTTTACAGTCTTAAGAGGCCCAGAAAATCAGAAATGATGATCAAGGAAGAAAGAAAATCTGTAACAGCTGTGGGATCTTCCTGGGAAGGAAGACTGGGTTTTCTCTCCTCTGAAGATGCCCTTGAGACCACATATGACCAAGGTACAAACATTTCCCTTGTTTGGATGGCCAAGCAGCACAGTCTCCAAGACTCCCCTCCAATGTGGCTCTGACTTGGAAACTATGCACTCAGTAGGGAAGAGGTATGTGGCCATAATGCCAGCATTCAAACTCCACTCACAGGCCCCAGTCTCAGAAGTCCCACAGGCATCCTGGAGCCCTAAGCATTCCTTGGTGTTTGACTCTCACAGAAAACGCTACAACCATTTGTGCAGGCAGCAACCAGAGCTGTGACCTCTGTGCTTATTCTCTGACAGCACCATAGGTTTGATGCTTAACATTCAAAAATGCTGGGAGTTGAACTGATGTGCATTGTCCTCTGGTAAGAAACTGGAACTGTAGGATAACATTGGTATGTCTTTCCTCCCTTACCACAGGGAGCTTAGATATACTGAGTTACACACATCACAGTGCTCCTGAGGCACTCTCATTCCTCTGTGTTTATCTGTAACCTCTTTCTTGTGCTCTGCTTCCCCAACCAGTCAATCTCCTTTATCCCCTAATCAGACTCTGTTAACTTGTTAGGTCAGATCCTTCTAGGACACTCAATTTGTATTTCTAAATTGCTTTTCTCTTCTCCTTAAGTCCTTTGCATAGTTACTTCAGAGCAATGTCATTTTTATATAAACACAGAAAGTCAGTTAATGCTACGCTTTTGTAACTTGTGAGCTAACTGACTCTGAATAGTCAATTCTCCTTCCCCCGATTCCCCTTCATTCTCCTCCTTGAATCCTCCTAGATTCTCCCCTCTCCCACTCTTGAGTAAGTAGATTCAACTTACTCAACTTAAGCCTCAGTTGCCCTTAGTTCCTAGCACCCTAAAAGCAGGGTCCCAACGAGGGACTGGATGGACCCAAGGCAAACTGTGAGCTACCCTGGCATCAAAATAGGCTGGGACAAGCACCATAATACTTAACTATGAGTTAAGAGCATGGTCATGGACTAATTCTGTCATAATCCAAAAAGTAACAACTAGATTAGGAACCTGCTAGCGTTAGGAAAGACTAATGTGGCCTGAGCACTGTAGTCTGAGAGCCATCGTGAGATGTCTCCAGGAGAGCCACCCTACGAACTTAATGTATCTCTTAACTGTGTTCATACAAAATGACTAATAATGTTAAGAAGTAGAATTAGGATGAATTTTTAAATGGTTGCTGGACTAAAGAAAGGAGAACCACGCCCATAGATGGTATTTCGCCCTTAGACAGGTCTTCTTGCTGTATGAGTTTGTCCTGGAAGAAGCTTCCTCTGAGGGAGGGAACTTACATCCATTAATTGTATGATCATACTTATGTGTAATTGTTACCCCAACCTCCTCATGATTTGGGAGATAACTAGGCCTGAAGAGTGGGAGAGGGGAGAATCTAGGAGGATCCAAGGAGGAGAATGAAGGGGAATCAGGGGAAGGAGAATCAGGAGAGAATGGAAATGAGACTGGAATAAACTCTAATTGATACCAACCAGCCTGGCCGTTGTTTCCTCCTTCATCTGCCCATTGCCATAGGCCACCCCGGGACAGGGGAAGCAGCCCAAGACCACCGAACACAGGTGGTGAGAGAGAGCTGTGGGATTCGTATTCATTTTTTTGCATACACAGGAACTATTTCTATGAGAAAGAGGATTGATTTCCAGGGGTTTTATAGGATTCCCCACCCCTTCAGGGTCACCTACGTTCTGGGAATGCAGCCTCATTCTTCCCTTCAGTGCTTTCTATTCATCTTTTCTCCTAGTCTCTAGCAAGAATTTGTATACAGCCTAGGCCCTGAAACCATCGGCAAATGAATGAATGAATGATCAAGGTTAAGGACCGAGTCACAGGTCCAAACAGGGACGCACGCAGTCATCTGTGCTTGGTCGCCATCCCCACCTCACTTCCCCTGCTGCTTTGTACAACTTATCTATTCGGAGAAGGCACAAAAGCAGTTTCTAAAGTTGACATCAGCTTTTAGTTGTCCCCTTTCCCACTCACTGTTCTAACTTAACCAGGCAAGCACAATGGGTGAACTGCCTTCATTACGGCCCTCAGCCTAGTAGCTCCCTGAGGATGACTGCGTCCTCTGTGGGGCAAAAGAACCCCCAGTACACTTGTTTTGTTTTTATGGCACCTTTGGTTAAACAACTCTCCTCCTGGGCAACTTCCATAGAGCTGCCATGCTTCTGCTTCAAGAGCCTTCAGCCAAATAAATAAACCTTTCTCTTTTTCTATTTGTTTGATGGGGAGGGGGGGTGCACATTTGGCAAAGCTCCTTTATCTATGCTCAGGAATTACTCCTGGTTATGCTTGGGGAACCCCATGGGAAGCTGGGGATCAAACCCGGGTTGGCCACATACAAGACAAACACTCTATCCTACTCAAACATATCTCTAAATAAAATTTTGGAAAGATAAAGTTTTAACTTTGTTCAGGTTTACCTAACCTTAAAACTTAAGTTTGAGGGACCCAGGGGGGATTGCTCAAAGGGCGGGAGCACAGGCCTGATGTATGATAGGCTCCAAGTTTAATTCATAGCACTGCGTGTCCCGGAGGATCCCAAAGAACTACCAGAGGTGACTATTGTGGCCTCCAGCACTGCACCACTAGGCCCAAGAAACACCCAATCAACCACACACCCAATCAGCGGATCATCAGGAGTGGTCCCAGGGCCCTGAGTACTGCTTAGAAACACCCCTTCCCCTTCCCCTGCACTCCACAAAACCTAACTAAACTTTTTCAGGAAAAAAGAAATCATATATTGCTACTCAATGCCTCTTTTGCAAACCACAGCACCCAAAAGGAGAGCATGAACAAAAGGGAATGCCCAGCAACAGAGGTGAGTTGGGGTGGGATGGGGGGGTGGTAAGGGATACTGGGATCCATGGTGGTGGAGAATGGGCACTGGTGGAGGGATGGGTATTCGATTACTGTATAACTAAAACCCAAGCACAAAAATTTGTAAGTCTACAACTGTACCTCATGGTGTTTCACTAATAAAAATTAAAAAAATAATAATAAATAAAAGTAATAGTGGTGGGATTGGTGTTGAAATATTGAATGTAAATAATTATTGTGAACAACTTTATGAAAATTTTTTTTAAATTTTTAAATAAAAGATTCAATGCAGAACGGTAGGGCGTTCACCTTACACGCGGCCAACATGGCCGACCCGAGTTCGATTCCTCCGCCCCTCTCGGAGAGCCCGGCAAGCTACCGAGAGTATTCGATATGCCAGACACAGTAACAACAAAGTCTCCAATGGAGACGTTACTGGGCCCGCTCGAGCAATGCAGAAAAAAAATCATATTTAGTGCCATAGAGGTAGTCTAGGGTTGGGGGAATTTGGGAGAGTGGGAGGGAAACTGGGAACATTGATGCTGGGAAATTACACTGGTAGAGGTGTTTGAAAACTGTATGACTGAAACCCAATCATAAAATCATGAACAGTTCTGTAATGCTCTATCTCACAGTGACTCAATTAAAAATAACAATAAATAAATAAAATGTGAAAAATATCATATTCAATCTAGTTTATATTGACTAGAGTGACTGTAAAACACTTTGGTTGTTGAATATCTTCAAATATTTTTACAGAGGATCCTTTACAACAAGATGAATTCTTGGGATCTTATAGTCAGTTTCAGTTTGTTAACAATAGCTGAGATGGTGAAGTCACCGCAGGAGTGAAAGGGTGGAGTTCTGGGTGAATTGAGTTGGTCACTTAAATCTCACCCAACCAACAGGCAGCAAATCAGAATAGAAAAAGGAATGGTGGGGAGTGGGAGATGGCACCAGATAAAAGGAAGCCTGCCAGCCAGGCCTGACTCCTTCTGTTCCCCCTTTTTTCTCACCTTTCCTACCCTTCACCCCTTTCTCCCAGACAGAACCCAGGATCAGGATGGGGATGTCATGCACCCAGACAGAAGGCAGGATGAGGGAAAGCTCATAGGCTGAATCAGATGGCAGTAATGGGCAGGGGCCTCAGGCCCAAAGAGATGGCAAGATCAGGAAGGGGCTGAATTAGGCAGGGGTCTGACACTCGGACAGACACCACGCTGGAGACTTCAATGAAGCCAGGACAGGATGACAGGGAACCACTGGAGTATGGTCCAAGAAAGGCTCAGGCACAGGATATCAGACAAAAGAGCATACAGTGGACAGAGAGTGGCCCAGGGACAAGATCAGGTCATCATACACTGGAGGTGAGCAGACAGCAAGGAACAGGTCAAGGCAGCAGTACATGGCACCAGGGCAGTGCAGGGACAGAATAAGTGACACCATACATGGGTAAAGGAGAGGCCTGGTGTTTGGAGAAGGATCCGGACCCATCTACTAAACTGTACTATAAACTAAGCTCTTAACCATTCAGGTTTTGGATTGCAAATCTTTCATTCAATTCTCAAGAACCCACCAGTGCAGAAAAATCCACCTTTGTGCTAACAGTGAGACAACATAACTTAAAAACCGAATCATCTTAGGTCTGACTCCCATTTCTATATTTATTTGCTGGGTAATTCATTCTTACTTAGTAACCCGTCCACCTCCTGAAGGAGGCAAATACCACAGGAAAATCAGTCTGTCCAACACACAGGAGAGGGTACGTATATATTCTTATGTCTTTTGCTTTCCAGGTTATCCGAGCCAAAGGACATTTCAGTGACTCTTCAAAATGCCAATACCCCTTAAGATTCAAAACCATGAAGAAATAGACTCATAGGAAAGAAATCAACAAACCATACAATGCAACAGCCATGGCAAACTGCTACAGAATCACACAAAAGGTTGGTCTGAATGTTCGTGTGCATTCACCCACATATTTAAATCGAGTTGTACATCCACTTAAATTATTTGCTGGAATAATTTCCCTGAAGTAGTAGCATACAACACAAAAAAAGATTGAAACTGCATCTTGTCCCTGGATTCCGAAACTGTATCTTTCCAAGCACTACACATCTACCTGACCACAAGTGTGCCAAAAGCTGTGAGAAGCACACTGTGCTGCCCAGAGAGGGGGATATTACCCCTGCAACCCCACATGCAGGTAATTTCTGTCTGTCGACTTAAGGCAGGTTTCCAATGAGTAACTGATCTTTTACCCAAATAAGTTTGGGAACTTCTGTCTTACATGTTGGTCCTCAATGTTCTTCAAGAGCCTGGGATCTTCAAAGTCACATGAGTCACAAGGGGCAGTACACATCCGGCTGGAAGAGAGAAGAGAAAACATTTATTCAATTCAGAAGTTCCTTTAAGAAGCTGAAGAGATAGTACAGCAGCTAGGCACTTGCCTTGCACGTGGCTAACCCAAGTTCAATCCCCACCACCACATACACAGTGAGCATCCCCACCCCTGAGCACAGAGCTAGGAATAAGCCTTGAAAACTGCTCTGTGTGGCACAAAATTTTTTTTTAAAAATGCTATGACAGTGAACAGGAAAATGACACAGTGTACAGTACATGACAGTCATGTGCAAGGCCCAAAAAATTTCTATTACATTATGCTATCCAAAAGCACCGCCAGGATTACCCCTTGTGGCCCTTAAGCACCACTAGGACAGCCCTGGTGGTACCCATGCACTGCTGGGCCTGACACCAAACAGGCAGCCCAAACCAACCAAGTCAAGTATCACTGGGAATGACCATGGCTATTCCAGCACTTCCGGGGACATAAACTGTGGCCTCTGTAAAAATATATTCAAAATGACAGTTTTAAATGGCAAACTTGGTTAGGTTTTGCTGTTTATTTTGCCATTTGAAATAAATCTAATAAACATACAGTTAATTATCACCAGGCTTTTGAATAAAATTTTATCTAAAACACAATAAACAAGCAAAACACCAGGATAGAGGAACTGCAGTGCAGAGAGGGTAGAAGAGAAGAAGCAAAATCCAGGGTATAAAGACAGGAGAATGCTTCTGAAAATTGAAAATGATATCAAATAAATATTGGACGGCAAAGGATAGAAAATAAGAAAATAGAACAAACACATATGGAAGGTGTGACATAATGATAAGCAAACTGGACACTCAAAAGGAGGTCAACCACACATGCTAGGGGAAAAGGCAGCTCAGATAGAGAAGGGAGCACCAAATAAAGGGTGTTGGGAGGACCCTCCCAGGATGGGAGATGCGTGCTGAGAGTAGACTGTGGACCAAAAATGATTGCCACTCAATGCCTCTTTTGCAAACCACAGCACCCAAGAGGAGAGAGAGAACAAAAGGGAATGCCCTGCCACAAAGGCAGGGTGAGTGGGGGGAATGGGGGGTAGGAGGGATACTGGGATCATTGGTGGTGGAGAATGGGCACTGGTGGAGGGATGGGTGTTCGATCATTGTATAACTGAAACCCGAGCACAAAAATTTGTAAGTCTACAACTGTACCTCATGGTGTTTCACTAATAAAAATTAAAAAGGAAAGAAGGAAGAAAGGATGGAAGGAAGGAAGGAAGGAAGGAAGGAAGGAAGGAAGGAAGGAAGGAAGGAAGGAGGAAAAAATTGGATGCTCAGAGTCTTACAGGAGGTCCAGTGGGACCTGAGAAGCAGGAGGAGGTAAATTCTCTTGCTGTTAAAACAGGGACATTTCCAATACTTAATAAGGAAAGATGTTCAGGCAGAAATGGCCCTGTAGAGACCCAAGGCCATTGAGACCAAGGCATTGAGAGGGGTGGGAGGGGGGGATATACTGGTGTTCTTGGTGGTGAAAAATGAGTACTGGTGAAGGGAAAGGTGTTTGATCATTGTATGACTGAGACTTAAACCTGAAAGCTTAGTAACTTTTCCCACAGTCATTCAATAAATAAATATAAAAAGAAAAAATAAAATAAATAAAAAAAATTAAGGTGGAGTTCATGCCCAATTCAATCAGCTAATCAGTGGCTCCTACAAAATAGCAGTACTCCTACAAAAAAAAAATAAAAAACATAAAAGAAAGGTGCTAATATGAAATTATTCTTAAGTATTTTTCATTAGAGCATTTAGAACTTACCTGAAATCATCTGAGGACGGCTCTCTTGCCAATTCTGGAAAATGACTGTCAGAAGGAGAGAGAAACAGAGTGGTCAAAAAAGTGTAATCAAATGAAGTGGAGCAAGGAAAGCCTTGTCAGCAAGTGGTGCTGGCTAGACTGGATAGCCACACACACAAGAAGAAAAAAAAAAAACTTTATCCAATCTCACACCATGTTAAAAAAAAAAAAGTTAACTCAAAGTGGACTGAAGACCTCGAGATTAGACCAGAATCCATAAATAATACTGAGGAAAACATAGGCCGAACTATCCAGAATATGGACCTCAGAATTGTCTTCAATGATTTGACTCCAGAGGCAAAGAAAACAAGAATAAATGGGACTATATCAAACTAAAAAAGGCATGGCAAAAGAAACTTGGGCATAAAACAAAGACACCCTACTTAATGAGAAAAATATTTTCACACCATACACCAGGAAAAGGGCTATTATCTAAGGCACATCACGTATCCACAAAGCTCAACTGCAAAAAGCAAAAAATGGCCCATCCAAAAGTGGCGCAAGCAGTTAAAATACACATATCTGAGGAAGATATAAGGATGAGCAATAGGCATATGAAAAATGATGGCAAGTAGGCATCATTACTTATTATCAGGAAAATGCAAATCAAAACAACAATTTAGTATCATCTCACACCAGCAGAACTGGAATTTATCAAAAACAGTGAAATGGTGTTGGCCAGGACATGATGAAAGAGGGGTTCATATGCACTGTTGGTGGGAATGTCGCCTGGTGCAGCCCATAGAAAGCAGTGTGGAGGTGTCTCCACAACATAAGAAAAGAACTCCCATATGACCAAGCACTTCCACTTCTTGGGTATGTGACCACTGAGCAAAAAAACATTCATTTGAAAATATATGTCTATGCTTATGTTCATTGCACAATAGTTGGGATATGTTAACAACACAAATGTTCAGTGACAGATGAATGGATAAAGAAGTTGTAGTCTATACCACAGTGGAATATTACACCACTGTCAGAAAAGATGAAATGCTCCATTATGTGAAATGAAATAAGCCAGAGGAGGAAGGACACGGAACCAGATGATCTCATTCATCTGTGATATAGAGAGAGAATACAGGAAGAACAATGTTGATGGCTGACAAACCCTTGGCTTTGGGGTACAAGACCAAAATAACTAAGTAACTAAGGGGAGGGGAGAAAGACAAGGTGACATAAAGACAGTGACAGAAAGACTTGGGAACACTGGTGGTGGTGATGGTATAATAATTTTGTAAAACAAAACCATAAAATTTACTACTACAGTGACCAAGTTACCTAAAAAAGAGATCAAAACCAAATCATGAGTCAGAACTTGTTAAGTGAAGAAATATAAATGTAGAGTTTTCTGACATTTCTCACTAGGTTAAAGTTGCAGAAATAAACCAGATTTTAACTGTTCAAAGTTTTGAGGGTCTTACACTTCAATTAGTTTGAAAAGTGATTACAAGCCTAAGGCCCTTTGAATATGCTGTCAAAATACTGTCCACTTTTTGTTGCTGAAGAATACAAATGAAATTTTCAGTGAAGGATAAACACACATACCCATAGGTTACTCCAGCAATGCTGCACTTCTTAAAATTCATGATATTGCACGTAAGGGTTCCAGTTTTGTCAGAAAATAGGTATTTTACCTAAATTAAAGAATAGAATAAATATACATCGATAATAATATGCAGAGATAAATGGATGGAATGCCTTCAAAAGTTTCTAAAATGCACCTTTATTTTAAAATTAAAATCTCCTGCAGCCAAAGAAATAGCACAGCAAGTATGGCACTTGCCTCACATATGGCTGAACCAGGGTTTAATCCCTGGCACCCCATATGGTCCCTAAAGCCCCACCAGGAGTGACCCCTGACTGGAGAGCCAGGAGTAAGTCCTGAGCACCACTGCCTGTCCTAAAATAAACAAAAATAAATGAAATTAAAATATCCTTAATAGAAGCATAATAATTACATTATTACAAAAATATTCACTATTTTAATGCTCAAACTACTTAAAAAGCTTGTCCCCTTTAACAAAGTCCCCAGAGAGGCACTCGCCTGTCCCAACTCTTCATTAAGGTTCGATGTCCTGGCCATTGCTGGAGTATCATTTACAACATAATACATATCTGTGTCCTGAAAGAGAGAAGGAGGTGGGGAGAGGAATGCACTTCAGGAAACTGTCCCACCAAGGCTTCATTCAGACTAAGCACAAAATAAAGTAAAAGCAGATACAATGGAAATGCTTGCTTTTCATTTAGAGGTAAAAATGCTGACTACTGTGTAGGAAAAAACTGTAACATGAAGTTTTCAATTACATACAGAAGAATTGCTTCAAGATGATCTTTGTGGCCTAGCCAAATTCACACTTGGCTAATCATTGGGAATCTCAAATAAATGCACAGGACAGCATTCAGACTACGGTCACCAGCTGCTGAAGACCAGTGCTGAATGGCCACATGGATCCCCAGCACTTCCACTTCCACTCTGAGAATAGCGTCCAAGGGTGCTATAGCATGAGATCTGATGTGTAAGGAATCCTAAAGAACACATGCACAGCTCACCTTCCTCAGAACTGGCACTCAAAGGCATGAAAAGCACTTGGGATTATGTCAGCCTAGTCATCCTCACCAAAACACAAGCATCTCTGGAGCATTTCGCCTCTGTAGCCTCACTAAATCCTCCCAAGAGCCCTTGGAATAGCCACATCTGTACACCTGGCCCCGTGTCATACAGCAGGAAGTGGAAATACCAAGGAACAAACTGCAGAAGGCAACTAATTCACTAGGAATTCCTGGCTGGCTGTCTTCTGAGTGTGAATTGGGTCATATACCAAATTCTCCCTATTCCTGGAGTCTCATTAAATGACTAAGAGAGTACTAAAAAAAAAAAACAAAAAAAAAAAAACAGGGGTTAACATTCCCTCATTTAACTCCCTAAGTGGGTCATGGAACAACCTCTACCTTTCTTGCAGTTTCACTAAATGACTAAGACTTCAAGGAGAGTATTAGAAAACAGGGGTTGACAATTCTTCAGCAGCTACAACTCTGAAACACTACTAGGATACTCACCCAGTTTATAAAAAGGGCTTGAGTATATTTCACAACCTCCAGAGTTACCAGTAGGCTAATGGGAATAAGATTGTTGTACAATATAATGAATGTCAACAAGTCGTATCCAAAGTTATTAGAGCTTCTTTCTGTAGGAGAAAAATAGAAGATTTCTTTCTGTAGCTCAACTCAGAGACTTCGGTTTCTTTGAATTTTATGATTCTGACATTTTTCCCAAAGGTGTTTTCAAAATATAATTCTTATTGCATATATTTAGGGCTTTGAATTTAATTATTGAGCAGTACCTACTATGTGGGCTGGAGCAATAGCACAGCAGATAGGGCGTTTGCCTTGCATGCAGCCAACATGGCCAAGCCGAGTTCGATTTCTCCGCCCCTCTCGGAGAGCCCAACAAGCTACCGAGAATATCTCGCCCGCACAGCAAAGCCTGGCAAGCTACCGTGATGAATTTGCTATGCCAAACACAGTAACAACAAGTCTCACAATGTTACTGGGCCCACTCGAGCAAATCAATGAACAACGAGAGGACAGTGACAGTGACAGTGACCTACAATGTGACATTAATGGAATAGGAAGCCTATTAATACACCATCCTGTCAGAACCAAAGTACACTCATTTTTGGTGTGAACCAACGTGCAGCCATTTTAGTTGTTAGTAGCCATTTTGCTATTCTGTGTGATTATGTAACTGATAGCTGAACTGGGCATGAACCCAAGACCACATTTTGGGAAACGGAACAGAACAAACAAAATTTACAATGCTTGCAGATAGTGCCAGTCAATCAGTAAAAGGAAGGAATCTAGTGGTCGACCAAGCATGGAAAGTCTAACAAAGGGGCACCCACAGGTGGCACTAACGAAAGTGGTTTTAGAATAAACCCTTCCACACAGTTGGTGGGGGTCATACCCCAACCATTTTTCTATGGGGTGCGGCCCTGGCCTGTCAATCTGTAATACTCTACAGTTTCTGTCTCTGTCTCTGTCTCTGTCTCTCTCTCTCTCTCTCTCTCTCTCTCTCTCTCTCTCTCTCTCTCTCTCGTCTTTCTCTCTCTCTTCCTTCCTCCCCACTCTAACAAATCTCTTTAATAAAATCTTTGAACTCCTCACAGGTGCCTTGTGTTCAAATTGTGGGGCCTAACAGTCCCTTTTAATAAAGACCTAGCTTCTGCAAAGAGGTTACAAGGAGGTTACAGGGTACTGCAGACACGGGACAAAGGGGCTTATGGGAAGGAAGGATCACTGCCATGGGAAGGCCATGATGAAGAGCAGAGGCTTGAGTCTAGTTCTGGAAGGCACAGAGGAAAGAGCTTATTTTAAAAGATGCATAAAGGAGGCAATTAAATGGTTGTAAGATGCTTTTGCAACCACACTGAGGTGTAGGGACTGGGGAACACTCCAAAGAGTGGGTGGGCTGGGAGAATCTGAATAAAGAAGTATGGAAGACAGGGAGGCAAACAAGAAGTCCTACACCCATTTTCTGAGGGAACAAGACCCAGGGCATGTAGATCAGAGCAGAGACAGACCCTGTTGGACAGGATGAGGAGCTGAGAGAGGAGTAGGTACAAGATCTGTGGGTATTGATGGGGTAAATGCTTTTCTGGCGAGCATCATATCCCAGATAAAAAAGAGAGCAACAAGAGCTCCATAATTTAGTAAGAGGTGAGGGATAGTTGCAGAGACAAACAAAAGGTGTTACTGGTATTATAAAGATACCACTGTTGAAGCAGAATCAAAGCAAAGGGCCAGAATGGGAAATGAGTATTTATTATGGCTTCAAACTACAATTACTGAGTTTTCCTGCAAGAGATTGAGTCCAACATGGTAATTTGGTTTAGAGTTAAAGTTTGAATTTGTGATAGAAAAAGTGCTGATAAAAGATCAAGGTACATGCTAGCTAGTTAGCAAGTAGTTTTACTCTTCTGCTTCCATTTTCTCCGCACTACCAAGTCTCCATGTTCCTCCCTGAATCTTTTTCATCCTGACAAGTGATCTTTATCTTTTTCTCCTATCACATTCAGCTAAGTAGGATCTCCAAGTATCAATAGTTAACAGTTGTCCCTGATGTGTAATCCAAATTTAGGAAGATCTGCCAAAAACAAGTATAAATGTTTGTGCTCTGAAGGCAGGCCCAAAACCATCATAGATAGTATCCGTAAGTGGAGTACATTAAGGGGAGATTATACCCAAGGCTGATGAGGACCCCAGAATGTCTCGGGAAATGGAAGAGATGCAGAAGGGAAGAAGAAAAAGGGATTATTCCACATGCAGGGAAAGTCAGGCAAGCAAAACAAATCCTGTGAAGCTGAGCAAATACAGAAGCTGCTAGGAAGGAAAAACAGAAAAATATCAATGGCAAATCTGCATGAACAAGAAGTAGATTCAGAGGCCAGAGAGACAGCACAATGAGTAAGGCACTTTGCTTTGCACAAGGCCAAGCACATTTCGATCCCCCAGGCTGGCTAGGAGTGATCTCTGAGCATAAAGACAGAAGTAAGCCCTGAGTTTTCCTGCAAAAAACTGATTATAATCTTGCAGAAACAAACAAAAAAAGACAAAAAGCTAAAGTAGATACTAAGAAAGTAAGATCTATAGTAAAAGTCCTAGAACAACCACTGAGAAAACAACTCGACAATTAAAATGAAAGAAATAATTTAGATTATGAAACAGAAAGGGCTGGAGCTATAGCACAGCGGGTAGGGTATTTGCCCTGCATGCAGCTGACCCGGGTTCAATTCCTCCGCTCCTCCCAGACAGGCTGGCAAGCTACCCGTGACATATTCGATATGTCAGAAACAGTAACAACAAGTCTCACAGTTTGTTGTGAGACATTACTGGTGCCCGTTTGAGCAAATCAATGAACAATGGGAGGACAGTGCTACAGTGCTATGGAACCGAACCCAAGAATGCCTATCCTCACTTCATCACAGAACTCTGAGTCTTTCTTCTCTCCTTGAAAGACTGGTTTCTGTGCCACTGGGAAAGAGGATGGTACTGCTGCCACACCCAAACTCTACTTGGAAAGGTTTTCCACAGATGGTTTTGTCTTCATCTACCTTGGTACTTACCCATCTTCGTGATGTACCAGTTTTTTCCACCTCGAGATCCGTTCCAGTACCAGGCCCCCACAGAGCTCACCAAGGCCATGACCAAGAGGATTCCAAATAACACCAGGATCTGCACGTTGGTCACTTTCTCAACATTCGATCTCTTGAGAGGTGCTTTGGTGGAATTCTGCGTAACAGCAGTGGAAATCAGTAAGGATCAAGAACTGACTTGGAGGCAAGGAAAGGGGAGGGAGGAAGGAAATTAGACAAATTTGATAAACAAAAAAAATCAAAAGACTATGTTTTTTTTGTGCCAAATAACCAAGGAAATCAAAAAGTGTGCAAACTCCTGACTTAACAGCTTAGTTTTAAATAAGGCAGAAAGCACAACTACCATTTCAAATAAAACATTTCACTTCAACATTATCCTCACAAATATATTTGCATAAAATTGTGTACTAATCTACATAAGAATAAAGTAGGTGATAAATAGTTAAAATCTAGTTTAAAAGAAAGCAGGGCATCATTCATTCAAGAGAAACTTTAAAAGATTCTAAACTGTATAGACCACATAGCTTCCCTGGCACCCATTAATTTATCTCATTAAGCAAAATAAGATTCTGTGAAGTACGTATTTTTCCCCCCAGCAACCTGAAATTTAATTCAGGAAAAAGACAGACACAAACACATACACATAATAATGCAAAATAGAACATCAAGAGGTGCCAAAATAAATGGGTGGGCAAAAAATTCATTTGAAAATTGTGAACAACAAAAAATGCAGGAACAGTTGGAAGTTCTAGTGGCTGGGGAAAGAGGGGAGGGATCTGAATGGTATCTGGAATCCAAAACAAAAGTAGAAACCTGAGCTAGCCCTTTGTGAATGAATGGGTACAGCCAGGTGTCTCTCTGCTGGTAAGAAAACCAACCCTGCTACAGGACAGGCCAGTGCTGGGAAGGGAGCTCAGAAAGATCCATTACCAGATAGAAAATATGGGACTATATCCTCTCGGCAGTAGAAAAGTCTATAGAACTGTTTGCAATAGGCAGTTACATATCTGGTCAATTTATTTTAACATTGTCCTACGGTATCTGAAGTGTGTAGACAAATGTTCCCCAACACACACACACATACACACACACACACACACACACACACACACACACACACACACACACACACACACCTTCTTGTTCTAAAATCTGAGTCCCATGACTGTTACTTTATATAGTTAAATCAACTTCAGAGAAATCATTAAATTAAGATACCTGCCTCAGGCAGACAGATTATTCACCCAATTGAAATGCATGTTATTCTTAAAACAGACATAGGAGGAATACTTCCCTAGCCACCTGGCTACCTATAGAGAAAGAGGATGAAAGAACATCAGTGGGATGCAACATGCTGGCATTAAAGACAGAGGAAGTGGTCAAAAACACTTCAGGCCGTCTTGAGAAGGTGGTAGAAGGCAAGTGGCAGACTCTTGAACCTCTTAGACACCCCACCAGCATCTTGCTATGGAGGATATTCATATCATATTTTATTTTTTGTTTTGTTTTTGTCTGGGGGCCACACCTGGTTATGTTCAGGGATTACTACTGACTCTGCTCTCTAGGATCACTCCTGGCAGGGCTCAGGGGACTGTATGAGGTGCCAGGGATCAAATTCAGGCTCTAAAGTAATGCTCTACCTGTTGTACTACCACTCCAAGCATTCATATCATATTTCTAACCTAAAGAAGTATAAAATAACAATTCTGTATTATTTAAGGTCATGAAGATTATGGTAATCTGTTATGGCAACAATAAGAAGCTATATGGCATACATAGTGGTTAGTGACAATCTGTTTCTGGAAGTGAGTAATCTTGGATTAAACAGGAAATCAGGAATATACAGGGGAGATGAGTGCAGAGTCTTCAATCTGCAAGTGCCCTACCATGAATCTGTATCTGGTCTCTTCGAAGGTAACATTAAACTGCAGACATCAGGTGATTTGAAAGTTAATGAAGCACTAAGCGTTAACAAATAGTGCTTCTTCCCTCACAGTCACACCCATGAACTGCCTTCCGAGCCAGAAAGAGATCCACAAGTGACAGAATTTTTCCTGGACCCCATGTAAGGCTGAGTTGTCTGCTCCAGAGGGGAGCAGGTGAGCACAGTGCCCACTCAAACAGAGCCCTGACAGTCAAAACCCTTCACACTCCACAATCACCGCCATGCTCCCAGTCAGACTCCACTGTTCAGACAAGCCCCATTCAGGTATGTTGAAAAACTCAGGTATGCATGTTTTGTGACTGAAATCTCCAGGCTTTCACATAGTCGGGGAAGGAGTACCTCCACCTATCTTCCTGTAGTTCTAGAAGCACCGGCAGTCACACACACCCAAATATAGCCACCACCACCCAGTTGAAAATTGAACTCTGGCTGTAACACCCCATTAAAAATTTTGGACTTTCTAAAGTAACATTTCAAACTCTACAACACTGATAAACCAGGAGTAGTACACCAGATTAGATGGATGTAATCTAAAAGGCAACCAATGTCAATTAACAAAATATAAACATAGAAGGCTTAACCTGTGGTTAAGCCTTAGTAATCTCTTATACAAGAGTTTAATGGTTCCATAGTGAGATACAGTAATCTCCACTAACTTTCTTCTATGGAAATATTTTTTGATCATCCTTTTAGCAAATAAAAAACTATTCTTTTATTTATAACAAGCAATTTAAAATAAACTATTTACTTAAGTCTGCTATGGGGGATAGGCTTAAGTAACAATTGGGAAAACTGGAAATAATGGTGGTGGGAAGGTGGAGTGGTGGTGCGACTGATGTTGGAATAATGAATGTCTGTTACTGATGACTTAATAAAGTTATAAAACTGTAAACTGATGACTTAATAAAGTTATAAAATTTTGTAAGAGGTGTCTCAAAAATGTGGTGATTCTGATAAGTCAGCACTTCCTTAACTATTCTCAATGTTTTCAGATCATTAAAAGAATAAAGATAATCATGTTTCTCCCAAATAAGAAAACAAAGACTTTGCATGGAAACAACACCAAGATGAGATGAGAGGATATTCATCCTCTTATAGAGGGGGCTCAGAGCGATAGCACAGCGGTAGGGTGTTTGCCTTGCGCACAGCCAGCCCAGCTGAGCCAGGTTCAATTCCTCAGCCCCTCTCAGAGAGCCCGGCAAGCTAACGAGAGTATCTCGCCCACACGGCAATGCCAAACACAGTAACAACTGTGTCTCAAAATGGAGACGTTACTGGGCCCGCTCAAGCAAAATCGATGAGCAATGGGAGGGCAGTGTTTGTTTGTTTGTTTGTTGTATTGCATAGAGAAACTTCTATTATGTCAATGAAATTGCTATTTGAATTCCATAACCAAGCCCAGAAACACAAAATTCTGGTCATGATTTACTGTGGGGGTAGGGAGCTGGAGAATTATTATATTGGGGACCTGGAAAGACTAGTTGCTTTCACAATGTAAGCAGCACAGAAACATTTTCCTTGCTAAGCTGTTAACCCCTGAAAAACATGGTGGCTAGAGAAACAGACCCAGCCCCAAAATCCATAGAATTTTTGACTCCCACAAAACTTAATTACCAACAGCCTATTGCTATGGAGTTTACTTAAAATATTGAAAATGAATATGATTTTTTTAAACAATAGGGATTTGGGGACGTGACTCTATAGTATAGCATGTGCCTTGCATGTATGAGACCTAGGTTCAATACCTGATACCGCCTGATACTGCTAAATAATAAACATAGAGAATAGAAAAGACATGCACTGTACTATATTTGTCAATACTACAATTTCATATCATTAATTTATATGAAAACTTGAGTATAAATGGATGCATGCAGCTGAAATCCATGTTGTTCAAGAACCAGCCATACACTCTTATTGCTCGGTTACTTTTGCTTTTCTAAAGTTTTCTTTTCCACATAGTATTTACAAGTTTCCTATAAAATCTAAACGCTAAGTCATGACGAACAACTGGCCAACCACCAATCAAGTATCATCTAAAGTTTCATGGGGAAACATTTCAACTCTGGCCTTGGGGCAAGAGCCGACACAGGTTCCAAGAACACTTACCACAATCTTTGAAAACTAAAAATCACAACCTTATCATTTTAAATAAACATTCACTGGAGGCCCTAGCATAAAAAATATTAAAGTAAGCATAATTTCTATAGCCCCCATTAGTTAACTGACTTCTGATCTTTTCCAGTGGTTAAATTCTATCCAAGTAACAGGATTATGGAAAGTTATCTTTTATTCAACACAAGAACAACAGATGAATGACCCTGAAACTTTAGGCTTCAATACATGAACTCTTTGGAAAGTCAAGGTCTGTCTACTCAACTCTAGTCTCCAGAAAACATCTGCATGTAATGATGAGCTTGTGATTTTAAGTTCCTACTGATATTCGATATGCCAAAAACAGTAACAACAAGTCTCACAATGGAGATGTTACTGGTGCCCGCTCGAGCAAATCTATGAACAACAGGAAGACAGTGCTACTGTGCTACTGAAATTATAAATCTTTCCAGAATTATCTGTGGAAACACAAACATTTCTGAGTAGTGGAAATCTATATAGAAAGAAGTAAAAATGTCAGATTTTGAAAAATACAAATTTTATGTGGATATTACTTATGTTATTCCCTCCTGAGAAAGCAGTCAATATAGTCCCACTAGAATATGGACTTGGGAGCCAGACTTCCTGGATTTGAAGCCTACCTCTATCTCATTACTAGCATGTAACTTTGGAACACTGCCTTAGTTTCCCCAGCTGGAACAGTAGTAGTTTTTTCCTCATAGAACCACAAGAAAGAATTGGTTAACAACACATGTGCACATCTTAGAACAATGCTGGGGGCATGGAACATAATGTGATAATATCTGCTCCATTAAATCAAGCAACAAGAACAGCCCATGCTGAAATATTTCTATGTGTAACTACGCTAGGTATGAAATGAGGAAATCTTGAATAGTGAAAGAGGCATGGAGATGAGAGGTCACAAATGAAAAAAGGGAAGAAATGAAAGCAGCTGTGTTTCCTCTCTATGGCCAAGTAGCACAAGTACAGACAAAAAAGTGTTATTTCACAAACAGGGTGGTTTCCAGCTATGTGTATCACATGATATTTTCTGTTCATTTGTTTGTTTGTTTTTGGAACACTCATTATTTTTGCTTTTTGTTCCAGCCCTAAAGGCACAGTGACTGTAGCTAACACAGATGCTTTGGGAATTTCCATTAAGCTGCATTCAAACAGTCAACAGGAAATATGCCTTACAAAGATATTTGCTCATCTAGGAGCAAAGACAGGTGCTCATCCAACACTGACCAGATGCAACTCCTGAGTGACCTCAGTGCACCACCTACTCTCTGCAGAGATGACTACAAGCTTTCAAAGTGTAACCTAAGTATCCCTTTGACCTTGGCTGCAAAGCTGTATCAACAAGGTATGATCTGGAAAAAAAACCTGAAAAGGCCACAAATAGGGACCAGAGCAATAGTACATCAGGAAAGGTGCTTGTAGCCAAGAGTTTCAAGTGATGGCTACCTACTGGAGAAGTTAGAGGACACCAAATAAAAGCTTCACATGCAGCTGCTCTGAAACAATACACTTTAAACACCATGGTCAGTGCTTCTGGACAAGTGAAGAACACCTAAGGGCTGCTGTTCAATTGCTATACACACATTCATGCATGCATGTGTACATATATTGACAAACATATGTATACATGTATACATATACACACATGCACACTCATATATACTGCCACACACATATACATACACACACTGACACATACTGACACACATGCACACATATACACTCACACATACACAATATTCACACGTGTATACACACTCACATACTTATGCACACTCACATATACACACTGGCACACTACTATACACACGCAACCACACATTGTTGTTTCAGTCCACACATACACAACCTCTGTAACCACTACACCACACCTGGCACCTACCATTCCAGGACCAAAATTTCTCTGAGTTCTTACCCCCTTTCCTGCTCAGCTGAGGGCACACATTCCGTGAAGACCTCATGAGCCTCTTCTGAACACACTTACCCTAGGATTCTGTAGATAGTACAGACTGAATGCCTATGTGACACTGGGCCGTCTGACACTTTAATCCTCTAAAATCATGCTTCAAAATCAACTTGTGAATTCACTTGTCTAGTGCCTTTCTGCCTCCTCCTCAGCAAATATACCAGCCTCTCAGTTACTCCCTAAGTCTTGGGCAGCTGGCTTCTGATGTCCACCTCTCCCACAGCCTGGACATTCTCCTAGCTTCAGTATCCTAACACAATTCATCAGTTTCTGATATAATTCCTGCTGGCTTCTTAACTTCACAACATCAAATGGCTTCCTACAACTCTGCCTCTGACTTCCAACTTTCACAGCACACACCGCAGTGTGGCACCCTACAAGCCTTTCACTTCAAAACTCAAAGACCAACATCCCACCCTGATGACCAGTTTCTTCAACTCCAGCGAGTCGCTCAACCCTTCTAATCCCCCTGAACCTCTCCTCTCCAGTTCCATCTCCCAAATGTGCTTTGTTCCTAGTATTAGTCGTAGTATCTAGTCAACGGACAGCCCCAGACCTGGCTTGGCTAAACCATCTACAGACTGTAATGACACCAGCTACAAAGTATGTGATTCCCGTTATTCCTTGGCCTCCATAGCTCCTTAAGGGTAAGATTAAGCCTTTCAGTCTTTTATCCACATGACTTTCTACATGCTGGTCACAAAATACACTTAAATGAAGAAATGCAGACAAATGAGTACATCCAAAGTTACACAAAAGGGCATAAAACTAAAAAGCCAACTCCCCTTAATAGTGACCATTCGCAAATTAATATGGCAAGTGAGACCAAAGAAATGTGAGGAATGAGAGAGAGAGACATGGATTCATGCAGAATTTCACACGCAGTCTAGCAAAATATGTTATAATATACATGCCCTGTTATTATATGTGGTCTATAAATGTACAGAGTCAAAAGCATAAAGGGGTGATGGGAATGAAAATAAGGATTAGGGCACATGCACCCAGCCTGGGTGTGATTCCTGGCACCAGACAGTCTCCTGAGCATCACTGGACGTAGTTGTGATGGGGCCCTGGGCATCCCCTGTGTTCTGAAGTCCTAGTACAGAAGGATACAAACAGCACCACATCCCTGAGTCCCAGCATGGAACCACTAGCCCAGCTGATTATTACTGGAAGGACCCCAACAATGTCCCCCTCTCCAAAAATATGAAAAAAGTCATTTTTTGTTTGTGCTTTTGTTGTTGTTATTGCTGTAGGTCACACAAAGTGGTGATTGGGACCTACTCCAGCTCTCTGCTCAGGGCCTCACCCAACAGAGACAATGTGGTACTAGGGAGCGAATTCCAGGCGCCAGCAGGCAAAGCCTGTGCTCAGCCTTCTGAACCATCTCTCCAGCCCACAAAATCATTTTACCATAATATTTTTCTTTCATGTAGGAAAAACATTTTAAATAAAAAATAACTGATTTTAAGTGGTATAAAATTTGGTTTTATATCTAGTTCTTACTCTGGAGAACCTGGCAGGCTACCAAAAGTATCCTGCCCACACAGCAGAGTCTGGCAAACTCCCATTGGCGTATTCAATATGCCAAAAACCAGTAACAATGGATGGGTCTCATTCTCCTAACCTTGAACGAGCCTCTAACGTGGCACTTTTTAAATCTCAGGGCTAGGACGAAGAAGATTTACTGGCGCTGAACAACAGGATGACAGTGATACAGTGATAAAATTTGGTTAAATAATTCGGATAATTGGCCGTAAAATTTTAATGGGGTGAAGAGAACATGAACTAGAGAAGTTAGCAACAACACCCCAACCCCTTTGTGCTTTCAGGAGACAAAATTAATTAGAAGTGATTGTCTCTCTCGGTGTGTATATAAAAATCACTGATACTTTAGGAAAGTGGTAATGAATGTCTGACATAATAACAGAAACCCAGAAAGAAAATATCTACAGAATGAAAATAGAGGCACTGCCCTTTCAAATGTAAGTTGTTGAGCAACTAACTTCCTGAAGAGTCTACTCCATAAAAACAGGGAAATGGAAAGGAAGGTACTAAAATAAGCATTGTTTTCAGCATAGAAATGTTTTACCTGCATGAGTTTGGTGTCGTGTCCAGTATATACAACTATGCCAAAGACCCACTGAGTGTTTCTAAGCTGTGTACCTCTTAATAAGATCTGGTCAGGCCCAAGGGAAGCCGGGCTAAAAATAAAAACAACATTTATGTTTAATGATAGTCTGACAAATGAACATGAGCTTTCCCCTTAAACATACACCCACAGATTCTATTTTGTCAAATTTACCTATTCCACTGAGAAATTGGTTACTCTGAAAAAGGATTACTATTGGTTCCAATCACCAAAGCAAAACAAAACAAAACCCAAAAACAAAGCCATCCACCCAAAGTCTCTTACTCATTCATTACTATAGGAAAAAAAATAATCAAAAGAATAAATTAAAAAAAGAAAATTATGTCTTTTATAAGTCTTTTATAAAATTCAACATCCATAAAGAAATCCCAAAATCTCATTTATTTGAGAAATTCAGTTTATTTTCTAGACTAAAGGTGGGGGGGAATCAATGATACTGTAACATCAAATTTGATATGGATGACTTCATGATTAATTAAAGCCTAAGTGATAAGTTAAAAATTCAAAATAGGGTATCTTCTGGTGGTCCTTCATACCTAATGTAATCCACGAAAACAGTCACCCTAGTTCCCATTACTCTATGGGGTGGATTCCATAACTAGGCCCTTCCCTTTGGGTCTATTTAAAATATAAAGTGGGAGAAGCTTTGGAAATAAGCAGGTAAGATAGGGGGAAGAGACAGAAACTGAGCCACAACATAATGACAAAAAAAAAAGTGACTCTCAATAAAGAAAATACAAGAGGAACATGACAACAGAGGAAAGAAGACAGGACAGTGGAGAAGAATTACTTACTCTATTTTACTGGGAAAAAAACACTGCTTAAGAAAACACTAGCAAAAGAATACAGACATTTCTCTAATACGTATTTCATCATTTATTCACTTCAGACACCTCTTCTGCTTTTGTGGACAAATTTGTATAGTCAAGACTCTCTCCCCCTCATTGGCAGGAGATACATGCAGAAAAAAATAACAACAACAACAAAAAAAAAAAAAAGACCAGTGATGAAAGCCTTATCTCAGCCCCCAGTTCTTGACAAAAATAAGTTTTCCTTGTACATTTGGGACAATTTAAATGGATCGAAATAATATTTCAAGAAAAGCTCATTCTCTCATCCCCCACTGTTTAATAGTCTTTTCCCTCATAGAGTATTTCATGGGGCTGAGTCTAGAAAACACAGGGATGCTTTCCAAATCTCCAGTAACTCTTAGTCATGTTTTTAGAAAATAAAACACTAAGAAAAGGGAAAGTGGTACCTTTGCCCATCTAAGTTTAAGTTTCCAGTGAAGTCGTACAGGTGGCGATTGGGCCCTTCACATTCTATCATTCCAGATAACTTCATCAATACTTCCCTTGTCTGCATGTCAGCAGTGAGGCTCAAACCCTAAAATGATAAACCAAAGAGAAAGTGGAAGAGAACCTAGCAGGTTTGAAAATAGTATTAATAACCCCCACTATAAATGGAAAGAAAATAGTGAACTGAAATAGAACAATCTTGGGGTATAAGGGCTAAAGAATAAATCAACTTCTCACAACAGCCTTTACAGACAAATTTAATCACAGCAACCCAATGTAAAAGTGTCCCAAAACTTCGATGTCACTTTTAGGAAGATTCCACCACCATGCTATAAACATCATAGACAGGTAATAATTGGTACTCAGATACCTTACAGAAAGCATATCCTAATAACCATGCTCAACACTCATCACAAATATAGACTAGAGTATCTCTTTGGTATGATGTAGTATCTACCAAACAGTAACAGAAAAAAAAGGTTAACTCAAAGTCTAATGGAAAAAGAAGAGAAGTGGGCATAATAATAAAATTTAACTTTATAGCAAAATATCTGTGTGGAAATACTTATTACTTATTAAATACTTAATTTTTCGTTGAAGACTAATTTCCATAGTTATAACAATAGTACAGTGGGTAGGGCATTAGCCTTGCATGCAGCCAACCCGGTATGAATCCCCAGAATCCTATATGGTCCCCCAAGCACTACCAGAAGTGATCCAGGAGCACAGAGTCAGGAGAACCCCTAAACAATGCAGAATGTGGCCAAAAATATAAAGACAAGTTTTTCATCCTAGAGTTAAGTCATGTTAAAATAACCTTATTTAAAGCATGGAATTTTGTAACTACTATATTAATCTCTGGAATTAAGAGTTACAGTTGAAACACCAATATACACTAAAGTATCCAGAGCTGGCCTACCAATCTCTCCACTAAAAAATGAAGTCCATCCCAGCTAAAGACCTCTCTCTGCACCCACACTAATACTCAGAGAGTAGTAAGATATAAGTTAGAATTTGACTTCTAGTTGTGAACTTAATGTAGTACATACACAAATAATCCCCTACAGCAGAACTGGTGGGGACCAGATTTGCAGTTTGGCCTCCACAATAAGAGAAGTCCTAGAAGGTGACTTTACCTGGCGTATTTTGAGGTTTGTCTCCCCATCTAGATTAGCTGTTTCAACATAACACATTGCTTGAGGTTCACTACAGAGAGAAAAAAAGGAAAGCCGGATTTTAGTAATATCCCCACCACAAATTCAAAGCTCATTAGTCTCTATCTGGGAAAGTATATCTGCTATTAGACCTTTCAAAACAGTGCTACGAACAGCCACTTTAACAGTCATAGTAGGGATCAATTAGAAAGACACATGCTCCTCCCTGGCTCAACACGGACCAAGATGCTTGTCCAGTATCTGCCCTTGTAGGCTCCACATCAGAGGCATGGCATCAGGGAAAGAAGGTAACAGGAGGACCAGGAGCATGAGGGCTGTGTGGGCCGGGTTAAAGAATATTCCAGCCAATGCTCAGCCACTGTCTTGGGTGACCCTGAAGCCTGCAATGTGGCCTCCTCCTGAGCTCACCCAGGCAGACCCAGGACAAACTACATTTGAACAAAATCACAGTCCAAAAGGGGAGTTAGTCAAGAGTTTTCTTCCTGTACCTTTCACTAAGTACATGAGCAGCTTTAAACTTAAATCCCAAATTTTAAGGACAGAAATCCCCAAAAATAAAAGTAAGCAAAGCAGATACTATTGTCTACTTCTGACCTTCCAGCTGAAGTAGCACATACAGTTAGTGGTTAATAGACCCACAGCCCAGCAGTTAAGTTACTATCCTCAAGTTCTACAGTGTCCGGCTATGCAACCCTTGAAACGTGTTCAATATCCCTGTATCTCAGTTTTCTCATATGTTCAGCAAGGATACCTAGGGGAGCTTGGGGAACATTAACACATTCTGCAGGCTGCATGGCACAAAGGACAAACTCAAACATAAATGAGCATCCAGAAAAATGCACGCTGCAACTCAGTCCAATGGTCTCATGTTAAAGTGTATTGTTTGGGGGAAGGGGGTGGAGGACATACCCAAAAGAACATACCCCAAACTATCAGATAAAGCTTATTTTACCATTTCTAAGAGTTTCTCTATTCTATGCTACCAAAAAAAGGGAGGAAAACATAAATCCAACTCCAGGTAGCTAGTGCCCTTACCACTTTACAAGCCTGGGCTTTTTATTTTTAGACCTTTCATCTCAAGCAGAAAAATTCATGTTACATCTTCAAATAAGGGAGTGATCAAATTCCACTAAAGAAACACTGCAATGAAGCAGTGTAGATATCTGTGACTCCCCGCAGTACATAAATACAGACATTTTTGTCTTAACATCATTTCATTTAATCTTAAACTTAAGAACCGAAGTTCACCTTAACCCTAATGTTGACCTTTCCTCTTTGACATAGGCTGGCATGAGTGCAGCCTAGGGAGGTTATCTAGACTGTCCATTATTTATGCCACATGGCGATGCTACCTTTCAAGTACAAAGCTGCCTGCCACACATGAACTTGGGCAAACAGGGTACCTACGGACAAAGGATTGGAGAACACCTTCCTCAGGTCACGACCATAGAGGAAAAATGGCGCAGATCTCTTCCTAGTCATAGAAGGCGCTGGGCCTTGCAGGGAAGCCTGAGAGCTGAGCCCCTCGGAGGCAGGGTCCGAAGCCTCAGTCCACTGCAGGCTGAGTCCCTGAACAACTGTACCTTTGGTTTCTGAATGGCTCCTTAAAATGAGGAATATCCCAGGAATAACAACAAGACTAAAAGGAATCGATCCATGTCAAGATCAGAAAATGTGGGAAATGAAAGAAAGCTGAGGCGGAAATGGGGGATGGCAGATGACAAGTAATTGACAAACAGGCTGGACAGAAAGATGGTGACTCAGAGGGGAGCTGGAGATGTCCACCACCATTGTTTAATGTTTTTTTCTTTGTTCTTAGCACGTATTTCAAAATCATGTGCCCACGCGCACACCTGACCTGGAGGACAGTAGGATCATGTCTGCTGGGAGATACTGCCCATTGATGACCTTCACAATGTCTCCCACGGCCACCTAGAAAACCAGGACAAGGACAGAGAAGCATGAAAGAAAAGAAAACACAAACAGCGATAAAGGGGGTTAAAATACTTGAAGGAAGATTACTATACCACTAAGCCACAGGGTTAGGACAGAAAAAAACATACTGCTTTCCTTACCAAGAACTAAAGGAAAATGTTTTGGTACAGTCAAATGGTGATACTACCCGTATACACTGATGCTGAATGAAAAGCAAAAGGTGAAAGAAGAAAATCAGAGACAGAGAGATGGGTCAGAACTCCTCTCAAGCTGTCATTTCCTTATGACTGTTCGTTCATCTGTTTGCCAGCAATGAGCCCTTTCTCTATCTCTGTGCAGTAGCACAGAGTGGGGAAGTGTCGAGCCCATCTGAATACCTACATTTGAATGACCTCAGGACTCCTTACTAGCCATGAATCAACAGCAAATTATACAGACTGTTAGGTGCTTCTCCTTTCTCAACTCTAGAGTGAGGTCAACAGAACAGATTTCATGGGGTTTTCATGAAGACAGAGAGCTAACACAGGCAAGTTTTCTCAATTTTTACAAATGGGGAAACCAAGGCTCTTGATCACATCATGAGATAACGTGACCAAGGCCACAGAGTCAGTGAGTGTTAGAAAAAGGGTTCAAAACTGAGCCACATGGCAAGCGTGCTGATTAAATGTCATACGCACCAGTGAACATTGCGTCTAAAACGTTCATCCACAGCCCAAGTGTCCAGAAAAAGATGAGGGGGAAAGAAGTTGTGGTGTGGGTACATAATGGAATAGTATTCAGCTTGGAGAAAGGATGACACTGTGCAATTTGCTGCTATGTGAATGGATCATGCTGTGTAAAGTCATTCAGAGGACAAGGACAGGCACATAATGGTCTCTCTCACAGGTGGATATAATGAAACTTAGTAAGGGAGCAACAAATCACTGTCACTATCCTCCCATTGTTCATCGATTTGCTCAAGCGGGCACCAGTAATGTCTCCATTCTGAGTCTTGTTGTTACTGTGTTTGGCATATTGAATACGCCACAGGTAGCTTGCCAGGCTTTGCTGTGCAGGCGAGATACTCTCGGCAGCTTGCTGGGGTCTCCGAGAGGGGTGGAGGAATCGAACCCAGCTCAGCTGGGCTGGCTGCGCTCAAGGCAAATGTCCTACCACTGTGCTCCAGCCCAAGGGAGCCACAAATAGCCAAAGGTATTAGATCCTGAGACTTGATTTACAGAATCGAGCTTACCAAGGGCGAGGTACAGAGGAGTAGGTAGGAGGAGACCATGGGGCACTGGTGGAGGCAATGGAACAAATACTCTTGCAAAAGGTGTGATATTAAAACACTGTATACATGATACTATCATTTCAATGGGAGTGTAAATCACGGCACCTTCATAAAAACCAAAGGGAAGAAAAGTAATAATGAAAATAAAAGGTTCCCCAGAAACAGACCACAGAAAACATAGAGGGCCCTTATAGACTAGAACTTTCTAGGCAAAGAATCACAGCAAAGTCAGACAGCACCTTGTAAGAAAACCTTCACCAGACAGAAGATGCCAAATTTTGGACATTGGCCATCACCCATCAAATGTGAGCACAGTGGCCAGGGGTCTGCAAACCCTTTAAATCACATCACATAAGCACCCAGGTGAAGCAGTCTCTGCTCAAAATCCAGTCTCATACATGCACCAGCCTAGGGTTCTGGCAAGCTCTTAGCCTCCTGAGCTCACCGGTAAGATGGAAGATATCCCCACTGACCTGGTGGACTTAGTGAACTCAGGAAGTGCACACAAGCACCTGGCAGAACACATGCATAGGAGATGGGTCCCTCTATACCAACATGAGGGGAATTGAGTGGACACCTGAAGGGCAAAAGTTAAGAATGGCAGAGTTGGGGCCAGAGCAATAGTATAGCAGGTAGGATGTTTGTCTTCCACACAGTCGATCCAGGTTCAATCCCCAGAATCCCATATGGTTCCTCAAGCTACACCAGAAGAAATTCCTAAGTGCAGTACCAGGAGTAACCCCTGAGCATCACCAGGTATGACCAAAATGCAAGGAAGGAAGGAAGGAAGGAAGGAAGGAAGGAAGGAAGGAAGGAAGGAAGGAAGGAAGGAAGGAAGGAAGGAAGGAAGGAGAGAGAAAGAAAGAAAGAAGGAAAGAAAGAAAGAAAGAAAGAAAGAAAGAAAGAAAGAAAGAAAGAAAGAAAGAAAGAAAAGCAGAGTTTCCTGATGGAACAGGAGAAAGGCCAACTCTAATTCACTAACAAAACTCAAAATGGACATGCTAGGTTCTAAATCCTCTTATGACCCATTTGCTATTCTAGAAATCAAACATTTCAGGATCAGAGATATAGGTCAGTCAATGGGCTGAGTGACTGGCATGCTGAGAGCCCAGATTCAATCCCCAGCACCACATGGTCTCTGAGCACTGTTGGAAGCAATCACAGAGCACAGAGCTGGGAAGACCCCCAAGAGCTTCCTGGTGTAGCTCACCCCCTATATAAATATATATATTTCAAATATTTCAAATACTATAATCTTATGAAAGAATAATAAATCTTAAAAGTTGGAAGAATTGTGCTAGCAGGTGATTGTGTTTAGACTTTTCAATTAGAAAAGAAGAGGTTTTAGTAAAAGACAGCCTACAGTGAGCCTTCTGGCACTCACTGAAATTGCAGGGACTTGGAAAACATAGAGTTGAAATGGCAAAAACGAAATTCCAGCATTCCAAGTGAAATGGTAAAAATATAACTCCAGGACCTTTGCAAAACTAATGTTAGCATCCAAAGAATAAAAAGGTACACAAAGTATATTTCATAATACATAAAAATTAAAGAGCAAATGCTGCAGCTACAAAAAAAGCAAAGGTGAGGATGGAAAGATAGTATAGCAGGTAGGACATTTGCCTTGCCCGTGGCTGACCCAGGATCAATCCTTGGCATCCCATATGGTCCTCCAGAAATGATTCCTGAGCACAGATATAGGAGTAAGCTCTGAGCACAGCAGGTGTGGCCCAAAAACTTAAAAAAAAATTACAAGATGAAAATTATTTGATAGCACAGAAGTAGGGCGTTTGCCTTACGAGCGGCTGGCATGGCAGAGCCAGGTTCAATTCCTCTACCCCTCTCGGAGAGCCCGGCAAGCTACCGAGAGTATCTCGCCCACACGGCAAAGCCTGGCAAGCTACCTGTGATGTATTCAATATGCCAAACACAGTAACAAGAAGTCTCACAATGGAGACATTACTGGGCCCACTCGGTGAACAATGGGAGGACAGTGCTACAGTGCTACTTTAATTTACGGGCTAGAGCAATAGCGCAGCGGGTAGGGCATTTGCCTTGCACACAACTGACCCAGGTTCGATTCCTCCGTCCCTCTTGGAGAGCCCAGCAAGCTACCGAGAGTATCCCACCCACATGGCAGTGCCTAGCAAGCTCCTCGTGGCATATTCCATATGCCAAATACAGTAACAACAAGTCTCACAATGGAGACGTGACTGGTGCCCACTCGAGCAAATGGATGAACAACCAGAGGACAGTGCTACAGTGCTACTTTAATTTACATAGAAATCAGAAGCAATTAGCTTTTAAAAAAATAAATGGGGGAAGAAAAATTAGTCATGTTTTCAAAGAAAAGGGGAGTAAATTTTTAGCCCATAGTAGGAGGACAAGGAAAATTATAGCTTTTTCCCATTTTATTTTATGAACAAAGAAACATCTAAATCTCATTAATATAGTTCTAAGAAGTTTTATGACATAAAAAAACTTCGAATTTTGTTTTACAATATATAGGTTGTACTGTCCTAGGTGTCCTGAATGTGTAAAACTACCTACCTAGTGAATCATCTTTTGAGTCGGGGTAGAGGGACAGCATCCTGATAATAATTGGCTTTGCAGTACAGACCTGAGGGCTCAGTACTGAGATGCAGTTTTTCTCAGTCCTCATAGTGCTGGGGGCCAACAGCTGGTGTGCTGGGTGCTGCTGGGTTCAACCTTACAACCTGGTACACACAAGACATACACCAGAGGCCCACTAAGCTAGCTCCCGGGCTCATACAAGAATTCTGAAGGTGGTATAGAGCCTCACTGAATCCTGGAAACTGCTCTAGCCTCAGAGGATCTCTCAATTACTTTAATTTTCAAGACCCAGCTCAAAGGTCCTCTTCAAAGCCAATTACCCTGTTGTGATTCACTCAGGACCCACAGCCCTCTCAGCATTCAGCTTTAGTGCTGGCTTTATAGCGCTTGGGGAACCTCAGAAAGAGGAAGATCCCCTTCTCTACACCTCTGGTCTCTGTTAGCACAACCCTCTCAGCTCCTGCCCCTCCTGCATTCTGAGTAATGAGGATCTAATTGACTTGCCTGAACACCTGAGGAGCTCACGCTTCACAATGACCTGGTGAGCAACTGAGACTGAAACTGGGGGCTGAAACCGATTACCTCCTGCTAATCCTTCAAAAGAACTCACATTATAGCACCTTGTTAAGTAACACCTTGTTTGAACTATATACTATTCATTCCCTACTATTTTATCTATATTTTAACAATTCCACTTATATTGCTTAGTTTCAGGTGAAAAAAAAAACAGTGATAACACATAAAAGAAAAAGAAAAAAACATGTAGCCCAACATACTACTGTCTAGATAATTTATATATCATCAATAACATAAAATCCTGAGCAGGGCCAGTGTGATAGTACAGTGAGAAGGGTGCTTGCCTTGCACAAGGGTGACCTGGTTTTATCTCCAGCCCCAAATATGTTCCCCCAAGCTCTGCCAGGAGTTATCCCTGAGCTCAGAGTCAAGGGAAAATCTTGAACACCACCAGATATGGGCCCCCCAAAGAATATCAAGACAAAACAAATATCCACAGCTTTCTCAGCCCTCCAGAACACATTTCTCAAGGAATGTGGTAGGAAATCCTCCCAGTCAATGGAGAGTGACAAGCACACTATGGGTCATGCTCAACCAGCCCTGCTTCAGAATCCAAACAGGGAGCCAGAGAGATAGTACAGCAGGGTAAAGTGCTTGCCACCTTACTGGTTCAACCCAGGTTCGACCCCCAGCATCCAATATGGTCCCCTGAGCCTTGCCAGGAGTGATTCCTGAGTATAAAACCAGGAGTAAGCTTCGAGCATTGCTGGGTGTGCCCCCCCAAAAAAACAAACAAACAAGAAAAAAAGAACCCAAACAGGTGTTTCCCACCCAATTCTAGCACTTCACACCTATAGATCATCATGAACCCAAAACTCTCCACCAAAAATGAGAGAAGGGAGAATCTTCAAAACTACTTAACTGCGAAAATTAAATATGAGTTAATAGAACCACAGAAGACCAGGTAACGTGCTTCTGGCAAAGGAGTAAGGAAATTAGAAAATGTTTGGGGGTTTCAGAAATATCCAACAAGAACAACAAATGTCACCACTATGAAGAGACATAGTGAGCACCTTCTGGAAGATGAAAAACAGAAAAGCAAGTACCATTTCTAAGTAAATCTTGGGAAATTTCACAATGTTAAAACGCACAGGAAATGAAGATGATTTATGTTTTAACACAAATTTTATACTACAATCAATATTAGCAATCAGTTTCAAGTCTACAAACCAAAGTTTTCTGTTTTATCCTTAAATTAGTTTTTACCTCTTTCCACATAATGGTCTGCCACATACCATTTCTTAACACTGAAAAAAGCAGGAAAAAGAATGCATTGATTAACAGTACTAATAATCAAAATAAAATCAATTTTCTAATACCAGTTCCTTTGAAAATTCTAGAAAGCAGTGCCAGGAAAAGTACAGAGAGATAAGAAACTATTATTCGGAAGAATGTGCATGCTTGAATTCTTATGGGTATAAAAAATATGTCTAACCCTCAAAAATTATAAACTTTTCTAAAATTTTGAAATACAGAAATTCAAATCATAAAAGCCAGGGCTAATATGTTGTTGAATTTGTCTTTTTCCTATTTCTTTGAGCTATTTTATTGACTACTTCCCCATTAACTCACACCATTAGCTACTTATTATAATTCCTTAATGCAGGCCTTATCCATAAGTTTGACAGTAGAAAAATGATTCATCCTGGTTTCTTACCTATTGTTTTCTTTTTATTAACTCCATTGTCTGCCTTATGTCGCTTCTGTTGCAGAAAGGAAAATAGTTGTTAGATTCGAAAGTTCCTACTGAATAGCTTTAATAGTTATAATAAAAGTGAGGGAAAAGGATAAATGGGGATGAGAAAACTGTCAACAATGGGATTGTTGCAAAATTCCATTCAATTGTCTGGTCAGTGTTACTACATTTAAAAGTCTAACACAATAAGTATAGATAGAGTCTACCCTAACCTAGTATTTGATTCTAATAACTAACAAGTACTTGGAGGTATAAAACTTTTCATTCCTCCTATTTTCAATCAAACTAAAGGAATAATTTCATTTCATAAATCCAATAGCAAGCAACTGAGTTTTTATTGGCAGTAAATTGGTGGGGGGGGCAAAATAACATATCACAATCATTATCCTTCGTTAAGGTTATGTGTGAAATAAGCTTGTCAGTGTGTAATGAGATAGAAACTAAGGGGTAAAGAAGGGGAGAAGGAAAAATGAAAGAGGGAGAGAAGGAAATTGATAAGGAGAGTAGAGATGAAGGAAAGAACCCTAGAGAGGAAAATGCAGAAGAAAGAATGTGAATATGGCCATACCCAGTGATACTGAAGATACACTTAAAGTGGTACAAGGTGAATGTTCATCATTCTTAGCTACAATATAATATTCCATTTTCTACCCAAAGTGCAAGCTCCAAAGGAGAATATAAGGGACATCAGTGACTAGGACAAAGAAAAAAGAAGAACTCAAAGTTGAGTCCAGAGACCTAATATTAGAAGGCATGGTTGGAACTATTTCTGTGTCACTGACTAGAAATTTAAGATACTGTTTATACATGTCCCCTATCCCAAAATAACATCATGAATCTTGAGAGACCAGTTAAGCTACAAACAATTTTTGTGTTAAGCAAGAAACCCAAAACAAAAAATTAAATTGTAAAATGTCTTCAAATACAATGTTTTTTATGTATAAAAGCAAAACTTACATAATCTTCTACAATCTCTTTGATGCCAGCAATTGTTAAAATAATGATCAATGGCACCAGGGTGGTATATCTTCCTGTTGGAGATACATCTGGAATTTGCTGCAAGAAAACAAGAGAAGTAGGCAAATTAACTTCCTCCTTACAAAAAAAGAAAATATGATATGCTGCACTTACTTCTTTTCAATAACATCTCTGATGCACCAAAACAATAATTCTACTTTAAAAATACCAATGCCTTCTGCAGTTTTTAATTTTTAGCCAAAATTTTATGTGTTTAGAACAAATACAGACAAAATTAATGCCCTTGAGCCATTTTTCAATGCTGCTTTTAATAACCAAGGTTTTCCTTAATACCCAAATAAGTCTGTTTGCTCAAACAATGACTGACTAGAGAAGGCAAACTTCATTAAATTTTTTTCAGTTCAGTGACCTTTCTAGAAAATTTTCATTTCGCAGGTAATTAAGAATTAGAATCTTAAATTTAAGGGAAAATTACCTGTAATAAGGCAATGAAGAGGAAGAAGGCATTCGCAGCTCTTCTAATCTGCTCATACAAGAACCGAGGTAGAAATGTCAACACACTGTACTTGGCTGTACTGTAGGTAGGAAGAAAAGTGATGCTATCATCAGTTCTGGATGTGAGGTCAAAAAAAAAAAGTAAACAAGTTAACAAAATCTTTCAAAACTTAATCACTGATTTCAGAAAGAAGAAAGGAGCCATGCAGTGCTGGTACAAATGTAAACAGACAGCATGTGGAAAGCAATATGGGTATGCCTCCAAATATTGAAAAAGAGAAATTCCACATGATTCAGGTATTCAATTCCTGCGTGATGACCTGAAGACTACAAAAGCATTCACTTGAAGAGACAGATGTATCTCCTCTGTGTTCACAGCAGCATGACTCACAATAGCCAAGACTTAGAGACTACCCAAGTGCCTAGGAATAGGCCATTTAGTAAAGAGTGGTTGCAAACACTGAAAACAAGAATCTAAGCTGCAGCCACCACCAAACTTTGAAAATGCCAGGTTCTTCAAAAACTAGAAATTGAGCTTCCATATGACCCCGCAGGACCACTTCTGGGAATATATACTGAGGATGCAAAAAAGCACAGTAGAAATGTCATCTGTACATATATGTTCATTGTAGCACTGTTCATAATAGCCAAAATCTGAAAACAAACCAAGTGCTCTACAACAGATGACTAGTTAAAGAAACTTTGGTACATCTACACAATGGAATATTATGCAGCTGTCAGGAGAGATGAAGTCATGAAATTTTCTTATAAAAGGATATACATGTATCACACTAAGTGAAATGAGTCAGAAAGAGAGGGACAGACATAGAAGGACTGCACTCATTTGTGGAGTATAAGACAACATAACATGAGGCTGACACCTAAGGATAGTAGATACATGGGACAGATAGATTGCTCCATAGCTGGAAGCCTGTCTCATGAGCAGAGGGGAGAAATCAGCTGGAATAGAGAAGGGATAGCTAAGAAAAAGATGGCTGGAGGAATCGGTCGGGATGGGAGATGTGTGCAGAAAGTGGATAAAGGATCAAACATGGTAACCTCTCAGGGTCTGCACTGCAAACCATAATGCCCCAAAGTAGAGAGATTATGGGGAACCATGTCTTCCATGGAGGTAGGGGGAGGGCTTGAAAGGGGGTGGGGGTTATACCGGGAATATTGGTGGTGGGGAATGTGCACTGGTGGAGGGATGGGTGTTTGATCATTGTGTGATTGTAACCCAAACATGAAAGCTTGTAACTATCTCATGGTGACTCAATAAAATTTTTTAAAAGTTATAAAAAAAAGAAGAAAGAAAGAAAATGTCTGTCAAGATGGCAGATGGGATAGGAGGGCTTGGGGGTAGGAGTGTGGGAACACTGGTGGAGGGAAGTTGACACTGGTCATGGTATTGATGTTGAAATATTATATGCCTAAAATTCAACTATCAATGACTTTGATAGTTATCTAATTAGGTAAAATGTATTTTAAAAAGATAGTAGTTGCAGTACAAATGTACAACTGAATACAATGGTTATACCATTTTAAAATGATACATGGCCAGGGATGCAGCTCAGTGGTAGACCTTATGCTTACCTCATGTATGAGGCCACTGGGTTCAATTCCTGGCCATACACTCCCAAGGAAAAAGGTAAAATTCTGCCATTTGCAAAACATGAATAAACTCAGAATGTATTATGGTTAATGTGATGTTCAAGACAGAGAAAGATAAACAGGGTATTATCTCATTCATATAGAATAAAGAAAAATATGAATAAAGAAATGAAACAGAAATAAACTTAATTATAACACAAGATTTTAAAATCACCAGGTTTCCAAAAGAGGAGAAGGTTGAAAGAACTACAGGGGCCAGTTTTATGGTGAAGAACCATGCTGAACTATTAATTATAAATTTAATGTAACAAACAGAAGTTAATTTTTAGTTATGTGAATCCAAACTGTATTATGTTATGAATACTACAAAATTATGACAGTAAGAATAAAATTTAACTTTGAACAAAAAAATGTGGAGAAATTTGCCCACTTTCCAGAGATTATGTGCAATTGAACACAGTAAGTATAAAGGAAGATAATATTTCCACAGATAACAAAAGAAAAAGGATACACATTAAAACACAGGAATTCTGAAGTCAAGAGTGAGATCAAGGAATTAGTCAGGAAACTCACATGAAAAAGATAGAGTTATGATCCTATTATTTTTTATACATAAAATCTTATTATAAAGCTACCAATTCAATGCAGAACCCATTTCTGTAAATCCTGGATAGCTAGTGCTCAGGGTATACTCTGAGATATCCACCAGATATGGTCAACCACACTAAAATGACCCTCACCCTTCAGAATACTCTTTATTTAGTCATCTGTGCTCACACTTTTCTTGCACCTGGAATATCCTCTTCCTTTCATATTATCCATAACAAAAAATATCCTTTCCCTCTGACTCTCCCCATCCACCATTATATCTTTTTTCTCTTTTTTTTGGGGGGGGTCACACCCGGCGATGCTCAGGGGTTACTCCTGGCTTTGCACTCAGGAATTGCTTCTGGAGATGCTCAGGGGACCATGTGGGATGCTGGGAATCAAACCCAAGTCGGCCGCATGCAAGGCAAATTCCCTATCTGCTGTGCTATCACTCCAGCCCCCCAACATTTTATCTTACATTAGGTTTCACTAGTTTCACAACAAGTCTTCCTCCTCCAAGACTACAGTGTGGAATTTACATCGATGTTATGCAGACTTTGCTTTACCTGGCATTTTTATAGATGTTCCCCAAATTAGGTTGTGGGAACAATGAAACTGTTTACTTCAATTCTGTAAGTTGTTAGCACATAACAATCAGAGGACAAAGAAAAGAGACAAAGGCATAAACTGAGAAAAGAAAAGAAGTCAAGCTCTATTTGTGGATATGATACTATACTTAGAAAACCCTGCAGACAACAAAAAAAAAGCTCCTAGGAACAATAGACTTGTAGAGTAAAATGGCAAAATCAACATACAATAAATCCATGAGTTTTCTATATCCAAAAAAATGTAAAAAAAAAATCCCATTCACAAATCAGAAAATTAAATACCTAAAGATGAAAGTTCTATACAAAGAAAACTGCAAGTACTACTAAAAAAATAAAAAAACACTACTAAAATAGACACAAAAAATCGAAACAAATCCCCTGCACATGGATTAGGAAGATTAACATTGTCAAAATAGCAATACTCCACAAAGCAATACACAGATTCAGTGCATATCCCATAACGATATCCATGACATTGTTAAAGAAATGGATTATCATGAACAGCTTTGTAACGCTCTATCTCGTGGTGATTCAATAAAAACAAAAAAGTAAAAATAGACCAAACACTCCTGAAATTCACATAGAATAACCTTGCCCTGCACCAATTGTCAAAACAATCCTAGAGAAAAAGAAGACTCTCCACAACTTCAAACTATACTACAAAGCTGTAGTAATTGAAACAGCATGGTAATGTTCTGCCAGATCAATAGGATAAAATTTAAATCCAGAGACAGATCCTCAAGTATATGGACAATTATAAAAGAGCAAAGAACTATGAAGTGGAACAAGGAAAGCCTCTTTAACAAGTAATACTGGAAAAACTGGTCAATAAAAAAGGAAAAATTTCTTTCTAACAACATATATAAAATTCAAATCAAAATGATTAAAGACCTTGATATCAGATCTGATTCCATAAGGTACATTGAGGAAAACGTAGGTAGAACTCTCCATGACACTGAAGTTAGAGGCACCTTTAAGGAGTTAATGCCACTGACCAAGAAAACAGAAGCAAAAATAAACAAATGGAACTAATTAAATTAAGAAGCCCATATAACATATTTAGCAATGGATTTTTTGGGTCACACCCAACTCTGCTCTGGACTTACTAATGGCTCTGCACTCAGGGATCACTCCTGGTGGTGCTCAGGGGACCATTTGGGATGCTGGAGATAAAATCCCAGTTGGATGCATGCAAGAAAATGTCCTACCCACCGTAACTATTCCTCTAGCCCAAAATTCAGTAATAGAGACAGACGAAAACTGTCAATGTTGTGATTCTTTACATCACTTTACTATGCGTCGCATGGAATGTTTTGATCTATTCTTATGACAACCAGTGAGAAAAAATGGACTATATTATATTCTCCTTATCAACATACCTCTATACAAAAGTTTATAAGTCAGAGATTACCTTTATCTAATTTCTATTAAATAGAATAAGTTCCCTATTCCTTTTGTATTTCTAAATTTCTATTTTTTTCTTTTTTTATTAGTGAAACACCATGAGGTACAGTTATAGGCTTACAAATTTTGTGCTTGGGTTTCAGTTATACAATGATCAAGTGCCCATCCCTCCACCAGTGCCCGTCATCCATCACCACGGGTTCCAGCATCCCCCCCACCCCCCATCCCCCCCGTCCCATCCTGCCTCTGTGGCAGGGTATTCCCCCTTGTTCTCTCTCTCTTCTTTTGGGTACTGTGTTTTGCAAGAGAGGCTTTGAGTGGCAATCATGTTTGGTCTATAGACTACTTTTAGCATGCTTCTCCCATCCTGGGAGGGTCCTCACAACACCCTTCATTTGGTGCTCTCTTCTCTATCTGAACTTCTTTTCACCTAGAACGTGTGGCTGGCCTTCCACTCATGGAGCAAAATTCCTGGTACTAATCTCAGCCATTCCTGGGTGTTAATCTCCTTTTTGTTGCTTTATGTTCCCCAGATGAATGCAATCTTTCTGTGTCTATCCCGATCTTTCTGACTCATTTCGCTTAACATGATACTTTCCATGTAGTACCACTTGTATGTAAATTTCATAACTTCATCTTTTCTAACAGCTACATAGTGCTCCATTGTGTAAATGTACCAAAGTTTCTTTAACCAGTCATCCTGGGAATATATCCCAGAGAGGCAAAAAGGTATAGTCAAAGTGACATCTGCAATTGTTTGTTCATTGCAGCACTCTTTACAATAGCCAGAATCTGGAAAAAACCTGAGTGCCCAAGAATAAATTTCTATTTTTTAACCCAATGCATTATTCAATAAATAACTCTGGGCA